TGGGGGAGGATATAGGGGTTAAGGAAAAACACTCGAAATATCTTTAAAATGAAAACCTAAAATTATAAGGACCCTAAATAAATACCTTAATATTTCAAATACTTTGTAAACATTACACTAAAAACCATCATAAAATTTAAATATAAACAAATATCGATTCAAGATATATAATATATTATATCTATAAAAAATTAAATTGAACAAATGATATCTTGAAGTTAATCCCCAAAAGGGTTACCACAGGGGTGAAGCGTAAAGAGAGGTATGTTTTTTTTTGGCAAATGATTTGATTTGACAGGTGTGCCCCTCTCTCCCACGGTCCCCGGGCCACCCACCTCCACCTTGCTCACGTTTATTGAGCGGGAGAGCGCGCTCATTTCTTTTGTGTGCTTGCTCGCTGTACTTGTGTTTGTGTGGGTGTGGGTGTGGGAGTGGGAGTGGGTGTGGGCGTGTCCATTGGGAGCATTGGAGCATCTTTATCGAAATAACATTGTAATTGCTTTTTGATAAATGAAGCACGCGCTGCACAACTGACAGCCAAACAACAAAAACGACTAAAACAAACACAAAGAGCGACAGAGCCAAAGAGAGCGAGATGTAGATTCGAATCAGAGTTACCCTCTCTCTTGCCTACCTCAAATCCAATTGAAGCGGTGTTTCCCAATGGGATAACGGATTCCAGCTGGAGTTTGGGAGCAAAGTGGATTTCAAGTGGATTCTGAATGAGGGGATTGTCCAGTAAGAAGTACACTGCGACATGTAATCGTAATTTAATATTAACATAATTCATTTTATTTAAAGAGTAGAATCAAAAATAAAAAAATAAAAGGAGGAGATGATCTTAGCATTTAATTTTACAATAATTTGATTCATTTTCCTTGAAAATAAACAAAATTGTTAATTCTATCTGATATTTTATAATAATTCATATATTTCCTTTCTGTTTTTCTTTTCATTATTATAATTTAATTTAGTTTATTTTTTTATGTATTTTGTATAAATATTCTTAGCTTATCAGGAAGAAGTTTATTAGCGTACCGATTTTACTTGGAAAATGGTTAAGTTTTACTAAGTTCAAAATGTTGTTTTGTTTGCATTTTGTTTTTGTTTTTTTTTCTGATCAATTAACATTTGTATTTGGTTATACAATACATACACCTAATTTATACTATATATATATATTTGTTTTTACATTTATCTCTTTGGAAAACATTCAGAAGTAAAAAATAGGCAAATGTACATTAAAAAGGAATCAATATTTATCAACATCAGTCCACACTTAGTTGTATTCCCTCAAGAATATATATATATATTCTATGCGTTCTATATGTATTTATTTGGAAGATTTTTATGTTGTTTGTTTTGGTTTGTTCACATTTTAAAATTGGGAAATTTTATATTTTAATGTAGATGGAAAAAGGATTTAATAACCTTTTAGAGTCATTTGGGAAGTATGTTAAATTATAATATAATATAAATATACAAAAGGGAATATTTTTAAATGGCTAGGAAAAATTTCTCATAAGTGTCCACGACTTTTATCGGTCGAATATTCGGATATGCCCCACGCAGTCATCCCTAATGGGTATTATTGGGGTTATAAAAGCAAAGAATCGCTCGGACGTGGACGTCTCACTCAAGTGATGCAGCCAGTCCCCTGCTCCTCCATCTCCACCTCCACCTCCTCCTTGCCCCATGCCAATCCCAAATCCCAATCCCCCGAACCTAATATCTTCCTCTAGGAGGAAGAGAGGGGCACGCACTCTGTGAAGACAATTTAAAATGTTGAAAAATGCTCAGCTAATTGGCAGTTGACAGCGTCGAGAGCCTGGGATTGGCTTGCCCCACAAAAAACAAAAAAACACAACAACAGCACAGCGACAGGGGTTAAGATGGACCAAAAAGGGAAGGCGGGGTGGCGGTGAGCTGTAGGGGCATATAAATTTAATTTGGTTTATAAAAAGTGCTTGAGAACATTGGGGGTGTGGGGAGAAAGGGGGCCCCAAGGCTGAAGTGGCCGAGCGGCAAAAGGGAAAAAGGGGGGCCTGCAGCCGGGTTAAGGCGGTCTAATGGCAGCCAAGTGGCCGCCACAAAAAGCCAACCCCCTTTGCTTAGCCATAAAGCAGGAAAAACAAAGTACGAAATACAAAAAAACCCAGAAAAAAGAATTAATTTTGAAAAGAAGAAAGGAAATTTTAGAAAATATTCAAAATCTAAACTTGGAGTACCCTTTTGCGGTAACCTTAATAACTGCGATCCTATTATACAAAATATTTGCTAAATTTCATAAAAATTTATCCTATGCATTTTATTTTTAATAAATAATTCCTTTTTTGAGACCCAAATGATGAAATATTAATTAAATAACCTTCCTAACTAATCCTTCTAGAAGTCCTTTCTCAAGTCTTTCTTAAAAAATATATACATTCCTAAGCCTCTCTTGATTTCCAATTTCGACTAAACTTATACATTTTATACCATTTTTAAAAGGAAACAACAGTAAAGAAAGCTAAATTCAAGAAACCGAAAGTTTTATACCCTAATTTTGTATATATATATAATATATAAAATATATATATAAATATATATATAAAATTATAAAACTGCCTTAAAAGGTTTCAACAGAACTAAAAATTCGATTTGGAATTAACAAAATAATATATAAACATCAAAAGACTGTACCCTAACGATAATACCCTCTTCGAAAGGGTATATAATATATATATAATAAGGAAGTAAAAAATGTAAAACTTTTTAAGGAGCTAAAAAAAGAAAAACCCCCCAAAATAAAAGGGAAGTTCTTGGGGTTACCAGTTTTCAACCAAAAAGCAAGAGTCGTAAGGAGAAAGGAAAAGTTTAATCGGAAATTCTTTGGAGAATACTTTTCCTGGCTTTTTTACCCTCTCTCCTCCGCCCCGTTAAGGAATTTTCTTTATTCTTTTTTTTTTTTTTGTTCCATTTCATCTATTCAAAGAAGTTTCTCATAATCGACACGACGCAATCTCATCCCCCAATCAACCCCTGGCCAGGAAGCCAGCGACCCCTCCTTGCCGCTTTGTCTTGAATGCACATTTGCATATCCCAACTCTAATTTATATGATAATGGAGGAGAACAGGAGGGGAAGCCCCAAAAAAAAATCGATGACTTAGTTTTTCTCTTTTTTGATAATCAAACCCAAGTAGAAGTATGATATTCCCATGCCAACACAACCGTAACAAAATAAAAGTAGCCAGGGAATGAGCTGCAATAACAAATCAAATTATATTTACATAATAAACAAATCAAGGATATAAATGTTGAAAGGGTTCAGCGCTCCACTTTCACATCCTTTTCAGCTTATTCCTATAATGTGATTCTTAACGAAATAAGGTTAAAGAATGCGAGTAACGAAAATTGGATCTTCCTATTAAGACTATTAACTAAAATTAACTTATGTTGAATAAAATATTATTTATATATGGCAATGGTTATCGAGAGTCGAGATCAGTGAGGCTTGGGAAATGGAAATATGCTCCAAATGTCGCTTTTTCCTGACCATCACTGCTCTAGACTCCAGAGTTTCTCTATTTTTGGGTAGGAAAAGAAAAGATTGGTGTGTTTTTGTTGTTCTTTTTTTTATGAGGGAACTAGAGTCAATTTTATTCTGATATAATATATATATCATTTTTGGAAGTTTACTAATTTATAACTACAACCATTGGAGTAGACACATTCTTGAATGCAATTTAAAATATATATAAATATTTAAATATTGTTGGAGAAACTCCTCTCTCTTTCTCTCTTTCTCCACTAACTAACATTGTGGTGTTGTTGTTGTAAAAAAGTTAAACTTGTTCTTCCCTTAAAATCATAATTTAACAAAACAATTGCTTATAAAAATAAGAAAAAAAAATAGTATAAAACGTTTATCATTTAATATTATATATAAATAAATTAATGGCTAAAATATTTACAGGCTTTTTGCGTAGCGAAGCTTTTAGACCTTTGATTTAACCGCATTTAACCATAGTTTAGTTTAGTTATCAGTTAGTTGTGGTTACGCCTCCTCGTATTTGTATTTGTTTTTGTTTTGTTTTTTTACATGCTCAAGTACAGTGTAAGTCAGTTAATGTAGTTTACGTTTTGTTGTTAATTCCTTTTACTAGTTAATATAAACATTTAAAAATTTTGAAAAATATTTCGTTTTGATTTAAGTTGTATTTTTTGTTTGTTTAGCTTAATTTCATTTAGTTTTGGTTTTTCTTTTTCTGTTAAGATTAAAGACGACACAAAATGGAAAAGAGAGATGCATGATATTTTATTGTTTTTATATTTACTTAGCATTCATTTGTTTTTAACGCGCGAGGTAAAAAAAACAAATTGTATTTTGTATGTTTTGTTTTATGTTTTTTTTTGCAAGCGAGCGATGACGATTGACGACAAAAATTTGTAGCAATTTGTTGCAGTTTAGTTTGGTGTATTTAGTTGGTTGGCCGCTGGCCCCTAGATCTATATAATATATATATAATCATATAATATAATATGTATATATATATACTTTTTTTTTTATATCCATAACCGTAACCGTAAACGAATCTTTTTATCTGTATTTGCTTTTGTATCTTGTAGCTTTTACCTTTACTCTGCACTTGTTTCTCTAGCTGCGTCGGCGTGTATATAACTATGATATATAATATCTATATGTATATAGTAAATGCGTTAAGTGTATATATAGTTGGTTTATATATATGTATATATAGAGCTATGTTTAGTATGTTAATCATGCGTGTGTGTGTGTATAACTATATGACTGCGCTGGTTTGGCTTCGGGATCTACAAAATGGCAGAGGATAAAACTTAAACTAAGTTGAGCTTGAATGCTTGACTGTCACTACTGTTCCACTTCACTTCACTCTAATCCAATCCGATTTTGATCCTGATCTGGGATCCTTGAGGGAACAGGGAAGGGTTATGTAATATGTACACAGTTGTCTTCGCTTCCGTTTACGTTTTTCTTATGTTTTTTTTTTTTTGGGGTGCAGAATATCACATAGTCAGACATCTATATATATGTATATATACGACTACAAGTTCTCCGGTTGGCTTAGACATGCAGCGTGGAGGCATCCATCGAGGATGAGTTCCTCGAGCAGGAGGATCGCCCACCGCCACCGCCACCGCCACCGCCACCGCCTATTAACGTGGCCGTATCCGTATCCGCACTGTCCGTGTCCAGGTGATGGAAGCGCTTGCGTTGCGGACGCAGGAAGAGGAACATGACCAATAGGGCCAGGAAGAAGGCCAGAGCACCAAAGGCCGGATAGACCACACCGCCCAGTTCGCTGGGTGTGGGCAAGGCGCTAATGATGTACACCCGATCCGTGGGCCTGGTGTGCACACTGTGCTGTGTGTGTGACTGCGATTCCGAGTTCCCGTGTTCCCGTGCCTCTGCCGATGGATGTCCCTCGCTCTTCGATGGCATGGTCGTCGTGGTGGTGCCCACCAACTGGCTGGTGTCCACATTCAGTTTGATCGAACGGCGCATCAGACCCGTGAGCTGTAGAGGAAATTAATTAAGAAATGGAAAATATTAGAAAAATATTAGGTAAGCTTGATGGTTTCTTCTCAGAGTATAATACAAATTCCAATAAAAATGTTATACATCTTATGTATTTGATCAAGAGTACCACATACATCTTTAAACTTTTGAAATTATTTTTAAAATGTATCTAAAACTATGCCAAAAGTATTATATTGAAAGTAACAAAACCAATTTAAATTTAATTTGTTATCTCGAACATTTGATAGCATTCTTTAATAAACATTTTTAAAGGAATTTCTAAAACCTAAAACCTTACTATGATCAATAGAGATCAATAGTAACTCTGATCAGGAAGTATCAATGAACATTGAGTAGCTAAGATCAGTAAGTAACTATGATCAGTAATTAACTCTGAGTAAGTAACTCTGAACACTGAGTATCTATGACCAGTAAGTAACTTTGAACATTAAGTATCTATGATCAGTAAGTAACTCTGAACTGCAAGTATCTATGAGCAGTAAGTACCTCTGAACAGTGAGAATCTATGAGCAGTAAGTAACTCTGAACAGTAAGTATCTATGATCAGTAAGTTACTTTGACCAGTAAGTATCTATGACCAGTAAGTAACTCTCAACACTAAGTATCTATGACCAGTAAGTACCTCTGAACAGTGAGTATCTATGAGCAGTAAGTAACTCTGAACAGTAAGTATCTATGACCAGTTACTAACTTTAAACACTGATAAACAATGACTTGCACCTTTTGTAACACAACACATATCTGATACTTGGCTGGCAGCAGTCACTTCGTTCCGGGGATGCTTGAACCATTTGGGAATCATATGCCACATGTGCGAGAGTTTTGTTTTGATACAAATTTAAGCTATTTGAAGGAAACTAAGGAGTTATTCTTGTATCTAATTTTACTCATATATAAATCGGAGCATGACAAATCGGTGGACTATATATATAGCTGCCATAGGAACAATCAGACAATTTATAGAACTATGATCGGTGCTTAACTATGACCAATAATTAACTCTGAACACTAAGTATCTATGACCAGTAAGTAACTCTGAACAGTAAGTATCTATGACCAGTAAGTATCTATGACCAATAATTAACTCTCAACACTAAGTATCTATGATCAGTAAGTAACTCTGAACAGTGAGTATCTATGAGCAGTAAGTAACTTTGACTAGTAAGTATCTATGACCAGTAAGTAACTTTGACCAGTAAGTATCTATGACCAATAATTAACTCTCAACACTAAGTATCTATGATCAGTAAGTAACTCTGAACAGTGAGTATCTATGAGCAGTAAGTAACTTTGACCAGTAAGTATCTAGGACCAGTAAGTAACTCTCAACACTAAGTATCTATGACCAGTAAGTAACTCTGAACAGTAAGTATCTATGACCAGTTACTAACTTTAAACACTGATAAACAATGACTTGCAACTTTTGTAACACAACACATATCTGATACTTGGCTGGCAGCAGTCACTTCGTTCCGGGGATGTTAGAACCAGTTGGGAATCATATGCCACGTGTGCGAGAGTTTTGTTTTTGAACCAATTTAAGCTATTTAAATAAAACTATGGATTTATTCTTCTATATAATTTTACTCGTATATAAATCGGAGCATGACGAATCGGTGGACTATATATATACATATATATAGCTGCCATAGGAACGATCAGATAATTATAAGAAAAGCTAATTATAAATTTTGCAGTTTTCCACAGATTTTCATCAAACTTAATTTACTTGATATTAATCTAAAATTTTGTTTAAAATTTTATGAAAATCGGACTACGATATCATATAGCTGCCATACAAACAATGGTTAAAAATAGAGGAAAATGTAAAACCGCGAAATTTAGTTTTTGTAAATACTGAAATACATTCTAAACTTGTTTGTTTGTTATTTTTTCAAAGGATTACTTTCGTCTAAACACCATTTCAATTGCATCTCTCAATTTTTCAATTCAATTCAATTGGATTTCCTTCTGCGAAGGACACTTACCTTGTGCTTGCACTTGACTTGGATGTTGTACACTGTGTCCGGCCACAAGGAGAGCTCGGCACGGGCTGTGTCCGTGAGCAGGTTACCGATTAGGCCGCCGCCGGACACCTCCCAGGTGATGAGGCACTGGCGCGAGGCATTGGCTATCATCTCATCCCATCCGATGTCCGTGAGGACTAATGATTCCTGGCGCTGGGCCTTCAGGATCTTCAGCTCGAAGGGCGACACCAGCTTCTGGCAGCACTGATGGAGGTTCAGGGGATGGAGCAAGTCGTGTAAATCCAGGACGAACAAGGACATCGCCGGCGGCAAGGCACGTAAAAGGAGCAGAGACAGAGAGAGAGAGGAAAAGGAAAGTTAGCTATTTGTCAATTATTTCTTGTAATTATGTGGCGCGCCCGCAGGTAGGCAATGAAATTTGTTCATCTCTCGGTTGGCTCTCCACTTTTCCGCCTTTCCCGCAGTTTTCCACCCTCCCCCCCTGCCCCAAGCGACAGGCGTTTAACCCATTAAAGCCTGTCTGGTTTTTTGGGGAATAATTCATGTCCTTTCCCCGTGTAAGTGCCCCAAAAATGTTTACGGTTGGCAATTTGGTGCCGAAACAAAACCCTTTTCAAGCCGCCCGGTGGATGGGTTGGCATAATAAATGTAAATTTAATTTCAAGCATTTAAAAAGATACTCCTCTGTGGAGGAATTTTCAAATTGTATAACATTTATAATAAAAAAAAAAGAGCGTGGGTGTCGCATAAAAAATGTCTTACTAAGAATTGTAATACATTTTAAAGATTTAAGATTTATAGACTTTGCTTAGTTTTTATTATTATTTTTAATTAAAGAACGTATTAACTTGAGTATTATTTTATTGCTTTGGTTCTATAATTCTCAACTGACTCTAGTCTTTATCTAATTCATTTTTAACTTCAATTTTGTAGAATAACTTTCTCCACAGAACAGAGAAAGCAATGATGATTGCTCAATATAAAATCAGGCACTAGGAGAATTTATATCTATTTGTATATATATTTTTTTAGGACTTTTAAGCCATCATTAATGGGTTAATGACATCGTTAGGCCTTCACAGACACACACACGAGAGATGGAGATACTTACATTTGTGCAATCAGCGGAATCCTTACAATAATGCCAGTCCTTGGATAGCTGCAAAGAGCGACAAGAGGACAAAGTTAGTTAGTGGGCGTGGCCTAATCGAATTTTAAGTAAGCTAGGAAAAAGTAATCAGGCACAAGACCCCAGGCTGCCGTCCTGACAAACAACAAGGAGTCATCAGGCAGCCTCCGCCAGGACCTCCATCCTCCACCATCTTCTGCTTTTACATCTATGTACATCTTCTTCTCATTCTCGTATCTTGTAGCCTCAACAATAGACGCAAATTTGTAACTTGTAATAAAAGGCAAAACGGGCAAGAAAAAAAGAGGAGAGAGGAAAAAAACAGTCTATGTAGATAAACACAGCAGCGGTCAAAAGGATAATGGTTAAAGTCCTGCCGCAGGAATTGAAAACATTGGAAGAGGTTTTAAGGTTTTTAGGCTTAAGTTTTTTAGTAGCAAATGAACCAAGAAGATAGAAACACCTTTTTACAAGGTTTCTTAAATATGCTACAAAATTGTATCAATTAAAAATAAAGCCAAGTGCTTGTTTAGTTCAGTTTTTGGTTAGCAGTTTTATGGTCTTAAAAATTATAGTCATATCTAGATGTAAAAGTATGTGAATATATCCAAAACACACTATTGATATTATATATTTATTTGTACTCTCCATGCTTAATAAAAATGAAGCTTAAGAATCAGTATTAGTAATAGTTTCTTTTAAAACTTTAACCCAAAACTTAAACCCATTTTCAAGCACTCAAACGTTTAAATAATTTAAATATAAATATCAGATTTAAGCTATTGAAAATCCATATATAAATACGAGTCCTACAATCAACTTGTCCTTTACAATATACAATTAACCAAAATGTTGAAAATACCCAGTTTAAGGAAATTGGTAAATACAATATAGCAAATTGCTTGAAACAATAGTTTGACAATGTGTATTCATTTAGAGAAAAATTTCCATAAATCCCATTGCAAGGATCTGCCCCGCATCCTGTATACACGTAAATGACCACAAACGTTCTCTGTGTGTGTCTCTATGGCGAATTGAAAATTTCACGCTCCCGGCAATGAGGATAATGAGGAGGATTGCCATGACAGGACGAGAGGGAAGCACGCAGCAAGGAGCAGGAGGATCAGGATCAGAGCCGGACTGCATGCTTAGCCTTTGTCAACTGTCGCCTTAGTCTCAAAACAGCTGAACGAAACAAAATAGAACAGAACAGAACAGCGGGTTGTATCCAGTAATACTTAGGGGCCAGGACGAAGCCCAACTCTCCTTTTTCGGTGACTGTCATGAATGGGAATTGGACAGAGAGACAGATGAATGGGCGAGCGAGCCGACAGCGATTAGAGATGCCTGCGTGACAAATTGTTATGACTCGAAATTTACAATATTAAAAAAAAGCATGAGAGAGAGATATATACACACATCAACAAACAAATCGAATAGGCCGGGGCTTTACACACAATTCTTTGCCCATTCGTTGTCACTTTTTCAGGGACAGGGAGCAGGCCAAGGGTTAAATAACCCCTAAAACTCCATTCCAAATGCTATATAACATAGATTTATGGTTATTGCATTTGCCGACGGCATGAGATTTATGAAATCTTTAGCCACATTCCCACTCAATTGGTCACATGAATTTTGTGGGTTACATTTGATCATTGCAGCAATTGAATTTATCAAATTAAGTTTGAAAATTACGTTAAAAGTTGGTTAATAATTATAAATATATTTAATTTAACCAAGAAAGTTGGAAATTTTATATAAATGAAGAGTTTTCTGTATCAGAAATTAATAGGATAGAGGCTATAGATTCTGTTCTTGTAAGAAAACCAATTAACGTTTAATTTTTTACCTCAAGAATATAATATTTCATTCTTTGAGACTGCTTTTTAGGGGTTTAAAAAACCTTCTGTCGGATTTTTAATATATAATTTATTAAGTCTACATCCTAAATGTATTTGTTTTCTTTTACTAAAACAGTATTTTTGACATTGGTTAATAACTAGAAATAACCTTAATATAATCAAGAATGCTGGGAAGTTTAAAAAAGTGAAGAGTTTTTTATTCTGTTTGTTAACAAAAATGTTGGCAGAATATTTAAATTTTAAATTTTATTATATTAAGTGTTTATATATTTATTTATTAGAAGGTAGAAGAATCTTCAACTAATTCATTTTAATGACCCGAAAAAAGTACTTAAATATTACCTCAAAGACCTTTCTAAGCTCGTCCTATCAGATCTCCTTTCGATCAGCAAAAATCCTTATCTCACTATAAAATCCTTAAAAGAAAACTACAAACTATTAGCTATTGACTTTGAGTAGGAAAAACTACCCTAATTAAAGTAGATACAAAGATACTATCTCACTTTGAAATCCCTATAATTTCACTTCTATCAAAAGCAACTTCTTTGAAACCTTTGCTTTTCCGAATCTTAAACCTCTCACAGCTGCTGAATAATTCTTGCTCAACCTGAAAGGAAAAATCCTTTGCGATGTTATCAAACTCTTTCTCTCTTTCTCTCTCTCTCTATAATCCTTTAAATGCATTTCTCTTTCTTTTTCTAACTTAAAGATCGATCATTCAGCACGATGCCAACGCTGGACATTGGGCTGCCATCACCTTTTGGGCCAACTTTGACGGCGGCACTTTGTCATCATTACACAATAAGGTGGAGGTAGTAGGAGAAGGACGAGCAAGGAGCAAGGAGCAGGACCAAGCCAAACCAAGCAGTTGTGGCAGATAAAAGCGACGAATGCCAAAAAAAAAGAAAAGGAAAAAGAAAATCGCAAAGACAACATATTTTCCGCTCAATTGAATTTTTGGCCTCTGAAGATGTAGAGGATGTAGTTGATGTTGATGAGGGGAGGATGAAGGACGAAGGATGAAGGATGTGCCTGGGGATGAGGAATGAAGCTGGAGCTGAGGCCTGAAACAACTTGGGCGATAAGTAACAACAATAAGGCGTTCAAATGAATGAGTAAACGAATGAATGACCAAATGACTGAATGAAAATGCTGAACTGGCTGAAAATCTTTGCTAGCCAGCCGGCTTTTCCCTGTCTTTTTCCCTCTCACTTCCCTTTCCCTTGATATTCACTGCTCTTTCCTCACTCCATAATTCCCACTCTGTGTATTCTGTACTCTGCAGTACCCTTACCCTACTACCTGGCCCAAAATGTGTCTGGGCCATATAAATTAAACGCAGGCAGAGCGACAACTTTTACATGCAATTGCCCTGGTATTTCACACCCCTCGACCGGGTCTCTCTTAGTCTCTTAGCCTCTTATACACACTGAGAACTCAAAAAGAAAAAGTGTCAAAACTCCCACATCAAATGAGTATATCCCACCTTTTGGATTGGATTGTTTAGACCCATGTTCAGAACAGGAAAAAAACAAAACGGAAGGTGCAGTAAGCCTGGTTATATAGGTTCTATATGTTTGTTTTTCCTAGTTCCCTAATCTTTGTTTTTCAAATACATACTATAGTACCCAAACTAATAAAATACAAGGTTTACTTCCAGGGTTCTTTTGTATAAATCAATAAATCAATTTATAATTAAGTAAACATAATATCTATCAAAGATCTCAGGATCTATAGATGTTATATAAGGATTGATATATCCTTCTCAACTCCGATTTCTAACAGTGTTTGTGTGTGTGTGCACATGACTCCCTGGGCCACATAAATTACCAAAAAAGTTGGGTCAGTCAGTCAGTTTTTTTTTTTTTTTTTTGAGCGGCTTTTATGAGACACGTACGCATACCGTGGATATATTCGATGATTCCACCACCAGCAGCGTCCCAACTACGTGCCTGGCATACATATAAAACAAGATCGAATCTTCTATCGAACCACCCGGTAAAATCCACACCACATAGCACCCATCGGTGGACCAACCCACCCACACCATCTATGGTAAAGAAAAAGTCTTTCATGGTGTTAATTTGGCGCTGATTGAGCAACGTATTCTCATTCGCATTCTCATTCTATTTTTCTCCAGTTTTTCCTTTTTTGTTTGGGGGGTTGTGCCAAAAGGATGGATGGATGGGTGGATTAGTTCCAGTTAGTCCTGTGAGACGAGCATGAAATTAGCCCAGCCTGCAACCCCTAAGAACTTTTGACTTTCGACCAGGCATCCTTTTGGTCCTTGCAGCCCTTGTCACCACCCAAAAGTCCCATACTCTCTCTCAAACTCTGCTGAGGGAACTTCAAAGGGCATACCGGATGGAGATGATGATGATGGTGATCAAGAATGCAGGCACGCAAGCGAAAAGCTTAAGTATTTTCGTGCCTAAAGTCTGCAATTTCTTCTTATTTTTTTTCTTTCGAAATAATCAACAATAAGGATTTGGGTGTAAACAAAGCCCAAAAGCTTGGCTCAATTTAAGTTAAGTTTGGGAATTCATTTTGGCAAGAGATTCGTGAAAAATCAATAGAGATAGAATCAAGAAGTTTTACAGATTGATATTCATTTTTTATTCACTAAAAATCAAACGCAGGCTTTATATTGATTATGTTTTGAGTATATATGTTAAAAAACATTTCATAAAATATACAAATAAAACTAGGAACAAACTAAATCGAGCCAAGTGATCCAAGTGAACTGGAATGAACAAAGGGAACTCAGATGAACTTGGATGAATAAAAGATCCTTGCTACCTCCTCAATTACTCCCTTTTTCACTATTCACACCACTAAGTACTGCATTTTAAAGATTACAAACAGTACTTTAGAGTTATCTACTACTTATCTAGTTATTAGATAAATTGATGTAGCTCTTTGCCTTCATCTTCAGTTAATTCAATAAACTTTTGGTCTATATTTAAAAGCAAGTTTAGTGTTTCCCTGAAACGATTTGAAGTGCCGTAGACATAGACTGTAGACTGCTGTCCAAGTGCCTTTTGCCTCTCGAGTTTCATCCATGTTTCTTTGTAAGTGTCGCCACAGCACTCATGATTCATGTGCACTCCTCGAGTCAATTGGGTTGAATGTGCCTGCTGCTGCTCAGGTCGGTCTTAACATAAGGTTCCCCCCTCAGGTTCTTGAGCTCCTCTGAGTTCTCGGTTCTCGGTTCTCGGTTGGCCAGTTTCGCGGTCCCGGTGCTCGCTCACTTTATCTTCTCTAGATGGAACCCCAGACCGTACACCTCAGCTCGGTTTACTTGGAAATCGGAGATGATATTTATACTCTTGTGTTTATCCCACATGATTTATTTGTATGTATGTGTGTATGTGTATCTGTGTTTCTCTGGAGTTGGTCGAATCGAATTGATATGAAAATTTTGATTTGATTTCATTTGATTGAAATTTATGAACAAACCAATGGATGTCAGCATAAGTAGTACATATATTCCTCCACCCTCTCTATTGTTTATTGTTTTTTGTTCCGATATCGCTGACAGATCAGCAAGCACCAAGTTCCAGGAAGTCACGCATTAAAAACTCAACTGGTAAAATCTTTGGGAAAACTTTTCCGTCTCCGATTTCAATCCCATCGGGGGACGTATTCAAAATTATTTCGACGGGGATCGTTTACACGACAAAATGCGGGGGGAAGTCCCAAAAAAAAAACCCATAACCAAAAATCCCCGGGGGTTTCAAAGTTTGTTTTTAGGGGAAACATAAGAAAGTGTCGCGTCTTAGCATATATATTGTATATATATGTTTATGGAGGGTGGGTGGTTTCAATTGTAGTGGCATTTTCAACTCGGATTTGTTTGCCCCGAAAAGTTTTGTTATACGTATTGATTAGAAGTTGAAGTTCTCTTTATTTATTTGCTGCCTGTCTTGATATTTTTGTTAAGTTGGAGAAGTGTTAACTTAAGGGTTCTGTTGAAAGTATCTTTCCTTTGTTCTTGTGAGATATGTAGGTTACAAGTCTAGAATATTATTCTATCAATATCAATATCTATCTTATTATTTTCATCCCTTTAATATACGACACAGCTTTCAATCAATCTTTTCTTTCTTAGTAAGACTCTTTTTTTGGGGTTTCTCCTGTAAATCCCAGAAACACTCCAGATATTTATCAAACTTTCAATTTAGTAAAGAAAGCATTGATAAATGACCTTTAATTTATATGGTTTAAGATGTTAGGTTTTTAATCTGTTCATTTTTAAGCTGTTTTCTTGATTTCTGTGAGCTTCTTTGTCATCTGAAGGACAGTCCTTTGTTCTTGCCACCTGTCCGAAATTATTCAAAGGCTCTGTGTCCTCTTCGTCAGCGGCTTTTTCCCACTGAAGATCTAAAGGAGCGACTATTCCATCCCAAACCATCCATCCAACCATCCGTGATCCCTTCAGCTTGGCTACAAATTCGATTCGAGAAAGCTTTGCCTTAAGCGGAGCAAACCCATTGTCTATGGCCGTCTCAAATTGAATTCCCGATCTCTATTAGCGACGCTTGATGGCCACCCAGTTGACATCTTTCTACTCTGGCAACTGGCAACTGGCGGCTACCTGAAACAACCTTAATAACCGGCAACAGAAGCAGCAGCGGCAATGGCTGCGATGTCAACCCGTAGATAAAAGATAAAGACTCAGCAAGAAGCCGGGGTAAAAAATGACATCGCTCTGTGGTACCTCTGCCTTTACCTCTACCTCAACCTCTACCTCTACCTTTGGCTCAGCGCGGACCATTGTCATTGTCATTGTCAGCGTCATCGATTCCCTAACCTTGAAGGTCGGGTCGGTGCGACTGCTGGTCCCCTGCACACAGAGAAATGGGTGGGTCGTCGTCCACGACTAATGTGGAATGACCTCAATTAACGTGATCTTAATCCCATTACATTTTACCTGGAGGAAGAGCTATTCGTGGGAAGTGAGGGAAAAGTACTTTTTTGGGCAATTGATGTATGCATGTACATAAATTTTCAATTAAATTTAAATATTTTTTAAATGCATCCAAATAAGCTGACTTGGGAACATGATTTAATTTAAGAGGTTAAATAATAATAATAATTAATGAAAATCAAAGGTAAAGGCAAAAGGATTCATGCTTTTAATAAGCTATACATTTAGTTATTTATCCATATTTTTATATGACAATTTTCTTCACAAATTCAAGTTTAAAATACTCATAACTAAGTCAAAAATGCCTTAAATTCAAATCAGAAACCGTTCCTATGTTTGTTTTTATTATGGTAATAAATCTGCATACTCAATTTAAAATTTAGAACAATTTATTTTTTTTGCCAATTTTTTGACAATTTTTACGATGTAACCCCTTATAAAATTGGAAAAAATTGGTAAAATTTATTTTTTCACCGAAGATGGCTAAATCAATGCGCCTGTTGATGCTGATCAAGAATATATATACTTTATAGGGTCGGAAATGACTCCTTCACTTTAAAATCGTCTAAAAATGAGTATAATTTCTGCTATATTCTGAAATATATATTGAAATATATCTTGAAATATATATTGAAATATATCTTGAAATATATATTGAAAATTATATTCTATATATATTTTTATCTATTTAAAAATCGCTTAAGAATGAGTTTAGTTTCTGTTATCCCCTAACAGATCTAAGCACTTCCGATCTTCTGAAATTGCAAAAGGAAAACGCCTCCTTTTGGGCAATTTACTTCAATGATCATCAAGAATCTTAATTGCAGGTGCACTATTTCCCCTTGTTTGATACATATTTCTTCCTGTGTACATACAATATATCCCCGCCTCCGCTACGGCGTGTGTTTTATATATTGCCGGTTGCTCAGTTGGGCATACAACTGTCCATCACGACGACCGTCTTGGATCGAAACGGATCCGATCGGGTCTTATCTTGGGTATTGGGTTTTCGGTTTTCGGTTTTGGGTTATGGGTTCGGAGGAGAGACTTTGGACTTGGAACTCTTACCTGCTGATAGCAACTTTGACGGCATCTGTTCAACTGCTTGCCGGCGAAGGAAGATGGAGGAGATGAGACAGCGGCGGCTGAGGAGACGGAGGAGGAGGAGGAGAGGCTAAGGTCGGATCCTGCTACGGATCCTGGTCGCGGTGCCTCCTCCTGGGCGAGGGAGAGGGCGGCAAGTGCGCAGGCCATCAAAGCAAGTGAGTGGAACATGCTGCTGCTGCTGTTGTTGCTTTGTTGTTGTCGTCCTGGTTGTTGCTAGTTCGCTGCTTCCTTCTACACTGCCTGCCTGCCTGCCACTCCCTCCTTTTTTTGCGATGGGCGTGGGCGTTGACTCGTGTGTCCTGTCCTGTGTCCTGTGTATGTTGTGCCTTCTTGCCTGTGTATCGGTATGTGTGCAGTGTTGTGGGTGTGGGCGTGCTCAGCAGATTGATTAATTGATTGATTTTGTTTGTTTATTTTCGTATCAAGTGGTGTTGCGTTCCGCTGTTGTTGTAAATATAACTGCAATCTCTCCACACTGCCACTCTCTCTCTCTCTCTCGCTTGCGGTTCCTCTCTGACTCTCGCTCTCCTGTGTCACCTCTCTCAAACTGTTTGTTCTCCTGTATGTTCGTTTCGGTGTTTTCTGTTCTCCTGCGTGTTGTTCTCTTCAATTTGTTTTATTTGTTTTTTTTTTTCTTTGCTGCTGCCGTGTTGTTGTCGTCGGGTTAAGGAGGCGTTTTGACAAAGAGGCGTGGCCCCAGCCCCCAAGCGCGCCTTGTTTGACTTTGTTATTCGGGGCACACCAACTAAGAGCACACACGTGAAAAAAAAAGTATGTGTAACTGTAGCGCAGCGATAAATACGAAAGACTACACCGAAAAGCACACCGAAAAAGGAGGAGGAAAGCACACAAACAAACAGACAACAGCAATAACAAACACTCCGCGGCTGACGACGACGCGAACACGAGACAAGAGGTCCACGGAAAGAAAATAATGTATGTTCGTTATAAATCGAGCAATATGCCAGAGCATATAAGTATATATACGACGATGTCTCGAATGAACAACAACCAGCGTCCTGCTGCTCCGACAAACGAACTACGCGAGCGAGTGTTTGAAAATGTACTGTTTTTAAAATCGCATCGGTATTGTATCCAACCCACTTGCAACGAACATGTTCGGTGCCATCAGTGTTGGCAGTTTTAGCTTATTTTCAGATCATACAGAGCCAACCGAACGAACCAAATTGCCAGGCTGCCATATAGGATCCATTTGTATTTACTTGTGCATAATTACTAATAATAATACATCATGCAGTAAATTTGTAACAATTATAATGTTATTTGCGAGGAGTTTAATAGCATAATATAAGCTTTCACTGTTATATATAATGAATGCTTCCTTCTCACCGTTACATACACTGCCTAAACTTATATGGTCTGATAGACAGGAGTGGAAATGGCAGATTATCCAGATTTATCTAAAAATTAATTCTGCTAGTCCTAGTGACTTAAATTCAATATATTATGTTTAAATTCTTGTTATAATTAGAATCCTTCCTTGGTATCATATTTTAACCAGATATTTTATTTGCTGTATTAATAATTATTATATAATATCATAATTATTATAATTTATATACTTATAATTAGCATCTCGAGACAACTGGTTATAACTGATATTAATCAAGGTTCTTACATACATATCTTAATTTACTTTACCTTTAAATAATATTTAAATTAATTTTATGAAATGTGCATATATGTATAATTTAATTTTTTTTTAATTCTATGTATTTTTTTCTCCTTTCTTCTCTTTTCTTTTCTTTTATAAACATTTACTTTACCTTTAAATAATATTTAAAAAAAAAATATGAAATGTACCTATATGTATAATTTCATTTTTTGAAATTTTATGTATTTATTTTCATCTTTCTTCTCTTTTCTTTTCTTTTATAAACATTTACTTTACCATTAAATAATATTTAGATAAATTTTAAGAAATGTGCATAAATGTATAATTTCATTTTTTGAAATTTTATGTATTTCTTTTCCCACTAATTTATTCAGAAAACGCAAAATAATTGTTATGCATTTAAAAATATGTATAAAATTGAATATAAGGTGTTTATTTTTGTAAGCAAAGCCATCAAGTTCTATTTCAGCTCTTGACAAATTGCATATGAAAGTTAACATTTTTCTTGGCTTGAAACCCACAATAATGTCAGCACTGGTCTGTATTCCTTTTGTTCTAGCCTTTTTTTGCAGCCTTGGTCCTTGAAGCTGAGAGCAGCATCGAGCCCGAGCAGCGAACACGTCGGAGGTAGGAGTTGCATGCTTCAAGTTGCAAGTTGCAAGCGATGGAGTCTGTGAGTCTGCTGGGCCCGCCAATGTCTTGTGCTTGGGGTTGGGGTTGGGGTTGTGTGGAGTTGCCCTGTCCTGCCTTGCCCCCTGCCCGAGGTTGTGGTGTTGGGGGTTAAGGTTGCACCGGGGTTGCCTTGGGTTTGGTCGGTGTCTCACAGGATTGGATTTGGGTTTGGGTTTGAGTTAGCTCCGGGTTAGGTTCGCTAGCTAGCTCTTTGATGATAATGGGGTGGCCAGGGCGGAAAGCTGAAACCAAACGGTAATCTGCCTCTGCCTCTGCCTCTCCCTCTCAGACTCTCTCTCCCTCCACTGCGGACATGCAGATGAATCAAAGCGGCCGCTGATTATAGCAACAATATGGAAATGCCGCTGCCATTAACCCCCTCCGGATGCCCGAGCGTCCTTATATGTAGGGGCATTGTTTATTTATATTCCATGCATGCATGTGTGTGTGTGAGGAGGTTTTTATAACCTCCATTTGCCAAAGTATAGTAAATTCTTTCAAAGCGTGTACTACATTTATTATTTAAGCCATGCTGCCCGCTTCTCTCCACTCTCGCAGCTCTTCATCTCTGGCTCTTGCTCCTGCTCCTTCTCCTTCTCCTGCCTCCTCTTTGTCCATTGTTTTAGTCTTTTCCTATGTCTGTTTTGCCGTATTAGCCGCTCCATCCGAAAGGCACCCGTTGCCCATTTTCCCTTCCTCTTTCTCTGTGTCTCTCTCTCTCTCTCTCACTCTCAAGCCCCTTTCATCCTTTGCCCTTCGCTCCCTTTCTTCAGCCTCCCCTCTCATCCATGAAAGCTCCAAGTTTATTTGCATATTTTGACTTTTATGCGGCAAAAATATTACAGACTGCGCTGCCAGCAAACAATATCAGAACCTCTTCCTCCCGAACACCAACCGAAAACGTTAATAAAGCTAGAGAAAAGCGCGCGGAAAAAAAAGGAATAAACTAGCATACATAATACAGTGCTTCTTCCAAGGATCGAACATGCTAATTTTTAATGAAAATTAATACCAATATAATAAAAACAATATTGTTAAGCTGCACTATACATTTTTTAACTCCTTGCAACGCAAGGAGTCATATAATTTGAATTGAAATTCATTAATTTGGGACTTGGAAAATACTTTTATTTATTTATATATATATTTGTTTTACAATAATAAAGACTATTAATTAAATCTTAAACTACTATTAATTTAAAGAATTTATTTCGAGTTTACGAGTCTCAACTGTTTAGGCAAAAAGTTAAGTGGAGAGGGAAATGGAACAGAATGTGGAAGCAAAACGAAAAACAAAATATTTGTTTCCTCATTTTTTTTCGGGAGCGGTGTCCGGGAAAAGTTTGAATTTCGGGGTTCTCGGCTTATGACTCCATTGCAACATGTTGCATGTTGGAAATTGCCAAAAAAAATATATATATATTTAAAAGAGACGAAAAAAGGCAGAAAATATGAAAAGAAATGCCCGCAAAGAAAGCAGCAAAAGACCGACAGCGGCAATAGCAACAAACATAAAGCAAAGACGAAGTCCATATACCCTTTAAGTTATGACTAATTGTAAAAAGGAGTGCAAAGGCTGCGGTTTTACAAAAACAAAAGGGTTTTAAGTGTAAAAAAGAGTAAAAGGTTCGATGCCAAACTCCACACCAAAGTCATGAATACCCTACTTTGGGAATATAGAAAATAGACAAGGTGGCTTCACAATTTATGCGCCCATGGCGAGCCATTTGCAGTGCTCAACTTTTTTGTACATACAACTCTCTCTCGTTTACTTTAACCCTCCTCCTCCTCCCTCGCCTCCGGCAGCCCCCTGGCCCCCCCCTTTCTGGCTTTTTTCCCACCACCCCTATGCCATTTCCATTTCATTCCGCCGCTCTTTGAATTTCCATTTTCATTTTGCGGCTGCCGCAATTGACTTTGTTGTTGCGTGTGGCGGCCATCCAATAAATATAAAGAGGGAGGCAGAGTGAGAGCGAGAAAACGGCCTGGGAGCCAAGGGAGGTAGGGAGGTGACGAGGGAGGGAGCTAGGGGATGGCGCAAAAAGGCCGTTAAGTTGGCCGCAACAACATAACGGTGATCGCGAGAGAGAGAGAACTACTCAGCAACGGGCCATCATGTTAGGCAAGTCACTGCAGTGGTTCCCAGACTGATGTGTCTCTCTCTCTCTTTTTTTTTGGTTTAACAAAGTTTCTCCTAATAATTTGAAACTATTCAGGAGTTTGAGAGGATTTACCGATACATTATGCATAATTTCAAGAATAACCCGTTATGCAGATTGAGTTAAAAGGGGGTTGGTTCGTTAAGAAACTGATCTTTGAGAAGAAAAATTGCTTTATTTATAAATTACTCTTAAATAATACCACTAATTTCTTCCAGTGTTAAAAACAAACTACAAACAATCCCGCATTGCACTTGCTTTAGTTTCCAGTTCGAGTTTTGATTTACGCACTGCGTAACGCATTTTTAAAATCACAACCGGGAAAACTTTTCCATAGCTTCTTCTTTGACCATCTTCCAGTGGTCTCTCCACCTTCTCCTCCTCCTCCTCCCTTTGCTTACCTCTGTCCACTCTCTTTGCCCAGCAATTCAAAGTCCGGCAGCAGATGGGCGCTTCCGGCGGGAGCATTAATGAGCGGGGGGGAGCAGAGAGTAAAGAGCAGAGAGCCGGGAGCTGGAAGCTGAGAGACGGGAGATGGGAGATGAGAGCGGGTTAAAGGGAGCCGGCTGACATGTAAGTAGAAATGAAAATGAAGCACAATGAGCACATCCGGCCCTGGGAGAGGAATGGGGGAGTAAATAGCGATAGGGGTAAGCCTATATACACCGGAAAACAACTATGGGAGCATAATTATTGATTTTAATTTAATTAAAACTAACTAGAAAGAGGGTTAAGCTTGAGAAGCCGAAGGTAGCTATTTGCCGAAGTTTGCTATTTTATGCACGAATCGTATGAGCAATTAAATATGATAAATAACAAAATGTATAATTTTTATAATATACTTACTACTCTATAAGCTTTATATCTTTATCTATATGATCCTATTTGTTATCAAATTTAAATACTAATACTTAATATCCTGAAAAATTACTACAAAAAAGTTGTTTTAATGTTGTATAAAATTGTTTCAATTCTTTCTCTGTCAGCTATAAAATATAGTGGCCCGTTCTGGATCGTTATTTATATGGAAAGAAACTAGTTTTACTACTTTTTCCATTCGAATTTTCATAGATTTAATAATTCTTTTACATTTTTATAATTTCTATTTATTGATTATAATTATTACCCTAATTTTTCCAAGTGCTTAGGCAAATCCAGAGGGCAGGGGTTAGACTTTGGTGTCTCAGACAAACAGGCTACATTTGGCCTCAACTCGGAAAATGCCTTTGGTAACAAACCCCCCCCCCCATCCCCCTCCCCACGCTACTATTCCTCTACCAGAAATCGCTGGCCAAGCGAGGGGCCATTAAGAAATTTCAAATTCTTGAAAAATTAGCAGAGAAGCCAAACGGAATGGTGGGGGGGGGGGGAAGAGAATAAAAAGAAGCCGAACTCTTTGCCTGGGTATAATTAATGGAATTTTTGAACTTTTAGTGCAAAATGCCTGGGAGACAACTGCTTGAACAGCATTTTCATTGATGCCCATTCCCCCCCCCCATGCTCCACACAAAAATAAATTTGTCGTCGACTCTGGCAGATTGTTGCAACTTGCAGCTCGGACACATGCAGCATCCGTGTATAGACCCCCTCCCCCACCCCCCCGACTCCACGCCCCAAAAAATACCAGTCGTTGTGAATGAAAATAGAGCAATTTGCATTATTCGCATTCGAGCAGATTTCGCCTTAATGAATTGCACACGACTTGCCAAGAAATAAAGATGAGCACAAAGTACGGAATGGTAAATGAGATACGTCTGCATCTGTCTGACTTGGCACTTTGTCTCGTGGCTAGGGGTTGGGGGTTGCATTTTGGGGTGCAAATAAATACACTAGTAAAAATTATTCAATTTTAATTGCAACGATTCAACGATGTCCATTAAATATAAGGGTTCTGTTTACATTTTAACCGAAAAACCAAACAAGCAAATCGGTTTTGAACCCTTCCTTAATTTATCTAAAGGAAAAAGATTGTAACAGATAGATTACTATATCTGTTGATTATTCTAACATTTTAAATCAATATTTTTGTGAGTGTACATATTTACATATATGTATTTATGTACATAACTACATAGTAATACCCATTTCCCCCAGAGATCCCCCGATGTCTGATCTGATATTGGGGTGTTGTTTTTCTTTTTCTGCATGTTTCTGTGTCTGTGGCCCGGAATCCGGTATTCATCTCCATCAAAGTTAATGCGAAATATAATTTGCATTCGGTGGAGCCGTGTGGATCGCCAAGTGAAAAAGCCACCAACAGCTGTGCATTTGATTTGCCATTTTTTTTCGGTGTCAAAAAAATAAAAAAAATAAAAGAAAATAAAATTATAATAGTAAAAAGGCGAAATTTGTGATACACTGTAGATAAACTTTCTGTTAAGAATAATTCAAGTCCAGTCTTTTTCGGTTCGGTAAAATAACATCTAGATTGTAGGAGAAGGATAAAAGAAGTCGTTAAAACTGTTATGGATGCTCTTTCCAACTCGATTCTGTATCTCTGTAGGTCTCTATTGTTCGGTTAAATTAGATAAGGGTAGAAAACTGATGTGCTTTTACGACAATTATATCTGGGACTTAACTTTATCGGTTAGATAGCTATCAGGGACTTTAACTAAGAGGGTGGAAAGCTTATCTTATAACCAAGGGAGCATGATTTTAAATTAATTTCAAACCCCTGATCATTTTTACCGATTTTTTAGAACGGGATATTCGAACCTTACCAAAAATAACATGTACCCGTCTCTAAGGGTATCTGCCAAAAATAATAAAAAGGAGAACAAATGAACAAACGAGCAATAACTCATGTCAGCATGTTCATTAAATGTGCTACGTTTGTCCATTGACTGTCGAGGCCTACTGCTGCCGTTTACAGTCTTTTTTCACCCAATGTCAGATGCACTTGCCTCCCAAGGGGGCGGGGCTGGATGGGTGGCGTGGTGTCCTGGTAAGGGTAATATGTAGGCCGTCGTATTTTATTGTCTATGTGCGCATATGGTCAGCTCATTGTGCAGTCAGTTGTATTGCCATTATCATCTGCGACAGCCATCAGCGAGCGTGCTCATCGTGCGGCGATTAATGCAACCCCATTCATCCTTCGTCCTGCGTCCTTTATCCAGTTACAGCTACGTGTTACATCTATCACAACAGCCACGTTCCCCGAGGGTGGGGGGGGTGGAAAATCGCTGAAAATGTGAAAAACTGCCTTTGCTGACATTTGTCCCAACTGCACATGTGGCTGGTCCCTCGGGTGCCCAATGATATTAATGCCGCCTCCGAACAACAACACGAAAAAAGAAATATATAACAATAATGGGCAAGTCTGGGATTGATTTAAGCCAGCTGCGGCAGGCAGTGACTGCATCAAAAACACATATCCAACACTCCACATAATTCCCGTGCAGCAATTTGCACTTTGGCCGGATTATGTTTCGGTTGAGAGATAATGAGTCTACATATGTAAATATTTATGTGCTATGCCACAGGGAGAGCAATGATATGAGCATCCATGCTTAAAGCAAATATGTACCAAGTCTTTGTGTAGATAAAAAGGGGCAAAGAAGATTTAGTAGGTCAGTACGATGCCTTCTATACTCTACAAACATAATAAAGTGGAACTAGTTAGCTAAAACTAAATAAATGGTTTATTATGATATACATTAGAATGAGAATTCCGTTTTCGTTTTCAAATTTGAAATTCTGTTAGTTTAACAAACCAAGTCTGGCAACTGCACTTAAACGCAATAAGCGGTCTGGCAGCCTTAAAATAGCCTTTAGTCAGCGAAGCTTAGCACCAATTTATACAAAACTCCCTTGATGGTGACGGCACAGAAACATCGATGGTCGAAAAAAACATTAATGACATAGAAAATTCAAAAGATCGGCCATTGTACATTGAACAAAAATATTTTCTGTTAATGAGAGCAGGTCTGTTAATGAATTTTACTACTTACATAGACGAGTGAGTTCTAAAATGTTAAATAACAGCTTCGGTATTCAGAGTGAACAAGACAGAAATATTAAAATTACCAACAGTACAGAATTCTGTTAAAGAGAAAAGGTCTGTTAATGAATTTTTACATTATACATGGATATTCTACGTTCTACATGAGATTTCGACCCCAAAAGTGAAAATTCGACTTCAAAAGTGAGAATTCGACGCCATTTATCTGTAAACGTGTAAAATTGTCTTACAGTCGCGTATGATGTAAAATGCTAAACAACAGCTGCTGAATTTCAGAGTGACCAAAAAACAAAAAATCCAAGAAAACAATCGCAAATTTTTTTTCAACAACCAACTCGTCGTGTCGCATGCAATTTGTTTTGTTAATTTTTCAAATAATCTCGGGCTTGGTGCTGCTGCCAATTGTGATCCACTACGTCTATTACATAATAAATGCGATTGCCGGCGACTTGTGCGAGCAAAAGAGGGCCCAACAAAGGCAATTGCTGCTGCAGAAAAGTGTCGTTAGTGCGGGTGCCGCCGTTACCGTTATAAGCCCACCGTCGTCCACCTCGCAAGTACCAACATCAGCAACAGCAACAACAACAAAGGCAGATTCTTCAACAATGCAAACAAATGATGACGCCAAGTTTATTAAAAAGTGCGTATGTATACAGTGCCCAGTGATTATGTGTGTGGGTGTATGTACAAGTGGCAGAACAAAAGAAATAGCAAAAAAAAAAGAAACCAGAAAGATACACTAAAACCCACTCACCTTGCCCTGTCTCCCTCTCTCGCTCGCACTCCCGTGTTGTTGTTATTGATTTTCCACTTGCCGCAACCTTTTGTTACCCCGTCTGTGTGTTTTTTGTTTATGTGTGTGTGTGTGTGCGAGAAGAACACCAAAAATAACAACTTGCACCGAGAGAAGAGAGAGAGAGAGAGAGACGAGGAGGACATTATTACCTCATTACGCATTGACCCGCATAATTTATGATTGATCCAACAACAATTTCTCTCCAAACAAAAACATGTAAAAACGGATAAACAACAACAACAAAACAGGAGGTGGAAAGGTGGATCCATTGAGCCCCATCCCACGGACAAGGCGCTGATTGTCAACTACCAATTGGAGGCCACAGTCTTTGGGGAGCCCAACAATCCCATGATCGAGGAGAAGAAGGTACGTAAATAGTTGCAATCATGTAAATTTGATTAAGTTCTACACTGAGAGAAAATAGATTGGTGCCTATATGGGGGGGGGTTAATACTTTAAACAAGAAATGAAGCAAACTTAGGGAAGCAGATGTTTTTATACCCTTGCAGTTGAGAAAATCGAATTGGAAATGAATCAGAATTGGTCATGGAATTTACCTTTAAAAAGTAGTATTGCATTTAAACTTAAAAAAATTACACTTCTTTTGAATTTATGACTATTTTAATGATATATACAGAATGGATCTCTATTTTTCTTACATACTTGACTAGATCGATTGTTGTTATTGTTGCTAATCAAGAATATTTAAAGTTTATAGGGTCAAAAATAATGAAAGAACCTTATTATCTATAAAATAACAAATAAAAAAATTTAAAAACAATATGAACTTATGAAATTTCAATACAGAAAAACCTATATTTAGGTTATTTTCTCTGTGTAGGGTTAAGGGTTGAGGTGGGGGCAAAGGATGACATTGAGCGGGGGCCAATCGATAACGTAAACGGGGTCGATGACGGGTCGGCGCTCAAGTATCGAGTGGTGGAGCAAGTAGCTGGTAAATGAGTAATCGGACAAACGAATAACTATACCCAAAAAAGGTTGGCGGGTCGGGTAAATAACCTCAATTCACGTTTTCTTGCCTCTTTCGGTTGCCTTTCGTTAATTGTTCATGACCAAAAATAAATAAATAGTAGCTCAAGACGTTTATCTATTTACCTGAAATCTTGTCAAGCGTTAAATTATTATAGAAGATTGAAGAATTTGATATCAGCAAACTATTTCCTGATTTAAAAAACTGATCTTGATAAAATAATAAAAATAATTATGATGCAGTCAAGCACTTTGCAAATATGGGGGAAATAGTTATGTTAATTAATTAAAACCTTTATAGATGAGACAGTATTCATATTATTTTGTTGGTATAGTATAGCAAATAGACTGTCTGTATTTAATATTTATCAATTAATATAATAACAACACATTTTATACCTATTTTTCTTCTATTAGCACTGTCAGAAAATCATTCGACTTCGATCGCTGAATGCCAAAACGGATCCAGCGGCTCTGGCACGCGAGGTGGTGGAGAAATGCGATCTCATTCACAAGTCCCAGCTTAATGACGTCGAACAGATTATCTTTTACCTAAAGAATCGCAAGGATAATGCCAGTAATGGTAAATATATACCAGTAATCTCTATGTTGGAATGCTAACTAATTATCTCATTTTCTTTTACAGATATTCCGGATAACAACACGCACAGCCGGAGATCGGCAGCGTTGCACAATTCACATACACGATCCTCGGCCAGATCGCACAGCAGCGTGGCGGCCATGACAAGCAGCACCGGTGGTAGCAGCGGCACAGGCAGTGGATCCGTGGCCGTGGCCACAAATGGCGGTGGCTCCAGTGCACTGAGCACTGCTGCACAGCCCACAGCAGATGTGTCCATCAACAATATTGATGAGTATGTGGAGCTATTGTACGAGGAGCTGGGCGAACGCATTCGAGGATCAGCCATGATCCTGCAAATGGCACGCAATCCGGATAATCTTGAGGAACTGGAAAAGAATGGTTCGATTTTGTTATTGATTTAATATCGAATTAAAGAACTTACGAATTTATTGTACTTTTAGAGGCCTGCCTTAGCGCCTTGTCGCGTGTCTTGCGCGAAGACTGGCGCAAATCTCTGGATCTCTCCACCAACATCATCTACATCTTCTTCTGCTTCTCCACCTACACCAAGTTCCATCCACTTATTGTGCAATACAAGGTCAGGAGAGAGGCTTAACATCTAATTTAAATATATATTTTATATAATTTTATATTGTTCTATCTCAGATTGGATCTCTTTGCATGGATGTGATTGACTATGAGCTTCGTCGCTATGAGACCATGCGAAATGAGTTGGATGTGCGCAAGCAACCGAATGGCTGCTCCACTCCTCACTCGGCAAAGGCCAGCAAGGAGAAGTTGAATCGCAGCACTGATGATTTCCTTGACATTATGAATGAGGAGAAGCCCAAGGAGGTAGCTTAACCAAACTCTTTCTAATAATTAAACTTTAATAGTAAGTTTATTTCATTGCCAGATGGAACCACCACGTCGTCGCATTCCAGAACTGAAGCAGCGCCCCAAATCGGGCAACTGGAGCAGTTTCCATGGCTCTATGTCGTCGTCGCTGATCAAGAGCCAGATCCTAAATAGCAGTTACCATGAGGCTTTGTGTGCCGGCGCTGTCGATTCGCCCGTCGCAGCTCCCGCTGCTGTTCCCGCTGAATTCAAGGCAGCAGCCCAGAGCCAGAGCAACGAATCACTGGACAGGAACGATCCCAAGGTGAAAAAGGAGGAGATTGATCGGCTGAACAAGCAGCTAAAGATCTTTGCCAAGAAGCAAGAGCAACTGCTGCGTGTGGCCTTCTACCTGCTGCTGAACATGGCCGAGAATGTGAAGCTGGAAGAGAAGATGCGTCGTAAGCATATTGTAAAGATGCTGGTCAAGGCGCTGGATCGCCAGAATATTGACCTGCTGATGCTAGTGAGCACTTTCCTCAAAAAGCTATCGATTGTTGGGGATAACAAGGACGAAATGGGCGCCTTAAACATTGTGGCCAAGTTGCCACGATTGTTCCAGAGCACGCATACGGATCTGGTGCAGGTCACCCTGAAGCTGGTCTTCAATCTCTCCTTTGACGGTGGATTGCGTCGCAAAATGATAGCTGCCGGCTATCTGCCCATGCTGGTGATGTTCATCAACGATGAGAAGCATCATGGCATTGCCGTCAAGATACTCTACCACATGAGCCTGGACGATAAGGTGAAGGGCATGTTCACGCAAACGGAATGCGTTCAAATGGCCACCGATGCCATCATACTAAACCTTAATGTCAAAGTCGATCTAGATCTCATTGCCCTGTGCATTAATCTGTCGCTGAACCGAAGGAATGCCCAGATTATGGTCGAGGGACAGCGTCTGCATAGCCTAATGGATCGTGCTTTCAAGTACCAGGATGCTTTGTTGATGAAGTTGCTAAGGAATCTCTCGCAGCACGAGTCCCTGCAGCCACAGTTCATCGACTATGTGGGCGATCTGGCTCGCATCCTGACCATTTGCGACGATGAGGCTTTTATTGTGGAGTGCCTGGGCATATTGGGGAATCTGGCCCTCACCGATTTGGATTACTCGCAAATCCTACAGAACTTCCAGCTAATACCCTGGATACGACAGCTCTTGGTGCCGTGCTCTCGACTGGATGATCTCGTCCTGGATACCATTGTCTATCTGGGAACCTGTGCCTGCGATGAACTATGCGCTCTGCTCTTCTGCCGAGCCAAGGTGGTCATCTCACTGATTGAACTGCTGAAGGCCAAGCAGGAGGACGACGAGATTGTGCTGCAGATAATCTTTGTGTTCCAGCAGATACTGCGGCATGAGAGCACCAGGGAGTACATGATCAAGGAGACCGAGTCGCCGGCGTATCTCATTGATCTTATGCATGATAAGAACGAGGAGATTCGCAAGGTGTGTGACTATTGCCTGGATATAATTGCCATCAGCGACAGTGAGTGGGCCAAGCGGATCAAGGTGGGTTTTGTAGTCAGTTATCAGAGTAAGATCGATATTAATATTGACTATTATTTGCAGCTGGAAAAGTTCCGCAATCACAATTCGCAATGGCTGTGCATGGTGGAGTCGCAGCAGGATCAGGATAATGAGCAAGACTATGCCGATCAGGAGGATGAATGCGATAACGATCTGGACACGTACCTACGATCCGAGTATTTGGACAATTGCAACGATCTCTATAATAATGACAATGCCGACAATGACAGCAATAGCAACAATAGTAACAATAATCCGGCCAGCCCGGCCATGTCCACCTATAGCAGGCCACTCAGCACGTGAGTTTTTCATAGATTAGAGATATATATCGAGATATTTATCATTGAATTATTGATATCCTAACAACATGTATCTCCTTTTCCACCAGTTATCGTCGCAGTCAGGATCTCGATGATCTGTACAACATGACCTCCAGCTCCAAGTCACAGGGTTCGTCCAGCGATAACAACTTTATGTTCAAATCGAACAAATCCCTGGACGCCGACGGGCTGCATGAGGAGCTGTTAATGGCTTAGAGCAGCTAACACAAAACCCAAAACGAAAACCGAAATCGAAATCGATCAAATTTTTAATTAAGACGCTTCTGCAGATGTTCGTTCCCATTGTACATGTTTAGTCACAGGCCTTCGAGTTGGACAAAGAAGGCTCAGCCCAGACTTCAGACTCAGCTATTTATATTATACATGCGATTTATAGGATATATATTTATATATACTATATATATTCACGCTTTGTTAGTTACTAAAGTTAAATGGTTTTTAGCAACGCGGCCCCCCACTTTGTACTCAAGACATTCAAATCGATTGACGAGTTTACGAAGTCTTAACTTTAATCTTCGGTTACGCTTTGCTCATTTACCTTATATATACTGTTTATTTGTTATTTATTAATATATAATTTGTAATTTATTGAGGCCTAGTAATGCGTTTAGCTTCACTTTAAGTCATCGCCCGCAATGCAATGCAACTATTGTGCAATATTATCTCTCACTGAAAAGTATTACGTAAAACGTTTTTTTTAGTTGTACATACTACTTGGTTGTCTAATTTTCTTTTAATTGATCGCTTTGCTTAATTTTTAATGTTTATAATTGCTTATACACCTAACCAAAACGAACGAAAAAAAGTCAAATTGTAATATTATTAATGGACGGCAAGAAGGGAAAGCCCTGATGAAAAATATATACAAAGCTGTACTGTAAAAGTTTGTTTTGAAAGTTGGTTTTATTTAAGTGTGTATTGCATTATTCATCTGGTGAGTAAGGAAAACCCAAACATTGATTATACAGGTATTCGTTATATATATTATTTTGGAAAGGTTTCTTTTACTTTATTTTCAATCAAAGTCAACCATTTCTGATAAATATAAACATATTAAAACTCGAAAATTCAAAAACTTGTATTTTATATATTAATTTTGTTTATTTTGTGTTACACAATAAGGAATATTAAGTTGCAGTTCGTGTATCCGAAACATACTTATTATGACAGAGGCTAGACCGATGATAAACATGCATGTAAATATATATAAATAGAAGAATATGCTCTCTAGTTATTGTTGGTAATATACACATAAGAATACACAATTACGTTCACTATATGTCATCATGATGGGTTTATGGTAGCCATCAGGCGAGGCCTTTTAGCATACAGCATATGAACATGGAAAAATGTTCTCCTAAAACTACATATAACTCTCTTCAGCATTCTTGGCATTTTTTGTTTGTCCCTCTTTTCGATTTAACACGATTTAATTGCTATTAATAGCTTTGATCAATTGGATTCTATCTCTCATCAGCTTAGCTTAAGGGTTCTCACAAGGTTGTTTTTTTGTTTGTACAAAAAAAAAAATATCAGACAAAGATTTTTTAGGGGAGGGAAGAGGAGTGTAAACAATTCTACAAAATACATAAATACATCCACCTAATGACTACAAAACAAATATCGTTGGAGGATTGATCGTTGACAAATCACCATTGTTAATCAAGATAGTCCATTGTCTTGATAAACTTCACCACAGATCCAAAGAGTGTCCAGTAGAACTCATCCTCACCCACAAGCTTCTTGCTGAGGAAACAGCTAATGTACTCCACCGTGGACAATAGGTAGGGGGGATTGGCCTGGATAATAGCGTATAAAATATTAGCTTTTGATGATACGGGTTTTCTGGGAACACTCACCATTATTACAACATAGATAAGCACGGGCAGAAGATCATCAGCAGCGGGCACACGACCACTGGACATGCGCAGCAGGCTCATAATGCTCGAAATGCAGCTGGCAAAGGAAGATAATTCACCATTAGAGGATATACGTACATAGCTAGACCTAGAGCTCCAATTTGTTGCTAGCAAAGACTTTATAAAAGGCTCAAAACAGCGCGAGAAGATGGTATAGCGTCTTTGATGCAAAGATGCAATTCTTTTCTACTCACTTGATGATGCATTGCAGCTTCTCACGCGGCGTCTTGTAGGCAGCCATGTGGCTAAGCTGCTGTTGGGCAAATGTCCACGGTGCCTCGCCCAAATACTCCTGGGCAATGCACAGCGATGGATGAGCCGGATGTACGAATCTCTGGAGCTTGCCAATGTGAGCCGAAAGCACCTCGTCACGCGACACATCCGCATCCTCGTTGGGGAACATGACCTGCTCGTACATTTGCTCGAGTAGCATTCGTTCGATGGCCACACGTGCCGCATCCAGCTGCCAGTCATCCTGGAGATCTGCACTAGTGCGCAGTTCCTGCAGCAGGGAGTCCACAAATTCCTCGGTTAACTCAACCCGCTCATCGCTGGCTCGCAGCTGGGCGAATTCCGCTTGGAACTCCTCCAGCTTCGTCTGCTGCCGGGCCCAGGCCAGATACATGCGCACCAGTGCCTGGAGCAAACAACGTTGACAGCTGCGTGCCTCTCCACTTAGCCGTGCCTCTAGCTGTTCCAGTTGCTCTGTCCGGAGCAGCAGTTGTTGTCGATGCCGCATCAGGTACTGCAGGTAGCTCTGTCGCCGCTCCAGATCACGCTGCAACTCCGACAGCAGCTGACCATGCTGTGGCCGCTCCAGTTGTGCCAAGCAGCGCAATGCCTCGGCCACATGCGATATTTGCGGCAGCCGCTGCATGCTGATGCATTGCGCCAACTGGATTTGCAGATAGATCTGCAATGGGGTAGCCATCGTTGTTGTGGTCGTGGTAGAGCTGGAAGTTTGCCGGAAGTCACCGCTATGCAGATCTGTCCGGGATAATACCGTTCGAAGCTTCTGCTTCACACTGCCAAAGGCCACGCCGGGAAGATGTATGCCACCATTCATGTGCTTGTGCAGATCGCCCGATGATTCGGCTGCAGCACTGCCTCCTAGACGCACGCCATGTCCATTATTATTGCCCATGGAATCGGAGTTGGTGGCCTCACTGGAGCTGCTCACCTTGCGACGGTATTTGGCCAGGATGTCCTCGCTTGTATCACAGTAGTGGTTGCCAAAGTGGTGGTTCACGCATCCGGCATTGGGATCAAAGCTAACGCTTCGATGATCCGCTTGGGCAGTGGCAGCAGACGAAGATGGGGATGTGGAGGCGGCCGGGTTGCTGGAGTGGCTTTGATTCTTGGCACTGGCGCTGGTTCCACGACGATTCTTGAAGATGCCCTGCTTGAGTTTGTTGAAAATGCCAGCACTGTGCGGATGATGCTCTCTATCCCGATCTCGCTCACGATCCCTCTCTCTCTCCCTCTCCCGGTCACGTTCCCGCTCCCTGTCTCGGTCCCTTTCCCGATCTCTTTCCCTGTCCCGATGATAGGGCTGCTTCTCCTTATCGGCACTGGCATCGAAGCTAATGCTCTTTGGTATGGCTCCGGTGGCCTTGTTCGGTGGCTTCAAGCCAGCGGCTCCAACTCCAACTCCAGCTGCTGCATCTTCCGCCTCAGCGGATCGTAGGACAACATCTGCTACGGAGCCTCCAGCTCTCTCCTCTAGCTGCAATTGCTGCGTTTGCACACAGAGGAGCATCTCCTGTTTGTCATCATCGGTTTTGGGCAACATGGAATTAAGCATGATCTCATGGTTCTCATAGTTTAGGCTCTGGTGACGCCGCATACTCCCCGCCAGGATGCCATTCCTTCTGCCATCAATGATGGCCGAACGCTGCTCGATGGAAATGCGACGATGTTCGACATTGGGCGAGGCTCCACCTCCGCCTCCTGCCTGTTCATCCTGATTGAACATATCCAAGAGCTGCTGCACCAGTCCCGGCGGCTGCTCCAGTTCTCTATTCCTCTCCAGCTCTTCTTTATCCTCGCTGCAATCACTGAAATCGATAAGATCCCGATGCTTCTCTTTCTCCTTCTCCTGCTGGTGCTTTTTCTTCTTCAGAGCCGACCTCTCTCGCTCTCTCTCCCTTTCCCGGTAATGATGATGATGCTCTCGATGGTGATGCTCTCGTTCTCTATCCCGATGATGATGATGATGATGCTTGCCCATCGGCGGCGGCGGTGGTTCCTCCAGATTCAGGCTCTGATTGCTGATACTACTCTCCGCCGATGTCTGGCGACGCATGCATGATGTGCCCATCAAGGGTGTGGTCTTGCGGCCACTGGAATCCGCTCCACTGCACTTGTACTGCTGCTGGAAGCTACTCTCGCCACCCATCACATGGTAACTGGTACGCACCGAACTCCTGGCCAGGGATGAGGCGCCCATATAGAGATTGGCATCGTCGTATGAGTTGACGGCATCAAAGAAAGCCGAATCCTCTTGACTCCGTTCGCTGCCATTCCCCCGATCTGGATCCGGATCGTGGGGCTCTCCATCGCCACTGCTGCCGGGTGTCTGCTCATCCTCATCCTCATCCTCGTCATCCAAGAGCACGGCAGCCTGCGGTGCTGTTGTATCCGATTTGGCCGTTATGGAAACATTGTCATCGGTATCTATTTCGGCCAACTTCTCCGAATCACTGGCCAAGACATCGGTGCTCCAATTGCTCTCCGAACGCTGATCGGAGGCATCCAATTGGGGGCCACCGGCGCCACCACCGACGACGACTACACCACCGACTCCCACTCCGGCTCCCGCTCTGGCCAGAGCTTGAACCACAAAGTTATTATCACCTGGCAGCACAACAGCGGAGGGTATCAGTGGTGTGGAAAAGTTCCTGTTGTTGTCCCTATCACCAGCGCCTCCACGCTCACTCCCAGTGGCATCCAGTGTGTTCTCCGAATCCGAGGCTAGCACATCCGTAGACCAAGTGTCCGAAATGATGCTCACATTCTCATCACCCTCGAACTTTTTCAGTTCAAACTTGCAGAACTTATCATCGATATCGGATCGAGCCTTGGAGAGTAGCATCTTTTGCATTTGGGGATTATTGGCTGCCGCTCTTGAGTGGACGCCATGGTGATGATGATGGGCCAAATGATCACCGCCAGTGCCATCTCCACCATCCGTTACCTGGGAGGAGGGTGTGTCCCGGCCACTAATATTGGGCGTTCCACGGCCAGAAACGTTTGCCGAGACCATATCGGATAGATTATCCTCATTCTCATGGACATCTCGCTCCTGTTGCTCCTCCAGGTCCAGGGAACTGGCCACCGAATGGGCCGCCTCGCTGATTGCCTCTAAATTATCCGAATTTCCTATGGATGCATCATCCTGAGGCCTTCTCATTGCCTCCAAACTGCTAACATCATCGTTGTTCGATGACGGCGCCAGGGGAGCCGTGTGTGTGACCACTGCTGGCAGGAGATTGCTACCATCCTGCCCTATGCAGTTCATCTTTAAGACTTCCTCTTCCGTGAGGGGTTTTAGCTTGGATTTGGCACCGGCATTATAGAGACTGAAGAGCAGCACAGGATCGGAGCCCGATGATCTCGTCTCATCGAGGGCAAGGGGCGGTTCATTAGCTGCTGGAATCGGTATGGTGGCGCCGCAGGAACTCAGGCTGGTATTGCTGCCACTGTGCGAGGAGTTGCTATGCTCGAGATCGGCTCCACCGCTGCCTACTCCTCCTCCTCCTCCATTCGCTGTCGCTGTGGCACTGGCGGTGATGGCTTGGCCGTTGGTTAAGGGCGGTTCCACTTGCACGGTGTTATGATTACTGCTAAAGCTCATGCCCTTGGCCAGCTTCTTTTTGGTGGCTTTGCCCAGCCTCATCAGGTTGTTGCTGCTGCTGCTGCCCTTTTTACCCTTATCGGGACTGTCGCGCGACATCTCGGGGACAACTTCCGGTTGCTGCTGTTGCGGTTGCTTGGGTATCCTGCTGAGAATCCTATGCAGTCGCTGCCTCTCCTCTGCAGATATATCGTATTCCTCGCGGGAAATCAGTAGCCGAAAGAACTCCACAAACTGTCCCAGTTCCCTTTGATTGATGGCCAGCTGGGAGCGCTCAAAGTCACTTTGCTGCGGTAATATGGCCACCACATCCTCACCGGTTTGTCCCAGCATCAGAAGATCCATCAGCTGCACCAGTTCGCTGTCCTCGTCGTTCAATGCCAGGCGTTGAAGCAAGCGGACTATCTGGTTGAGATTATGCCGCATCCGTTCGCTGACATTCACATCGATGATGCCCAGGAGATCGGCACTGGCAATCGCTGGCGAAATGAAGTGTGTAAAAACCAGGTCTGTGAGCAGATGGCGGATATCCTGTTCCTCGTGGGTTAACGATTGCCTCAATTGCTGACTCAACGTTTGCAGCAGCCATCTCAGGGAGCTGGGAAAGAGGGCCCAACTTTGCTGTAGACTCTTTACAAATACCTGGACATGTGAGTGGAGTTTGCCTAGAGTTTCCGCATGAAATCGAGCAACATTACGCTGGTACTCCTCCTTGTTCTCGTCACCTTCCGGGCCAAAACGTTTCTCACGTTCGCGCGGCGTAAATGTCTGCATCAACTTGTGGGGATCCAGATCCAGCCAGATTTCATGCTCACTAAGAACGCTCATTAGCGGCGCATGGAGAGCGGCTGTTAAGAATATCCTGGCCGAAAAGAGACTCTCCACCAGCCGCTGATACAGGCGGGCAAAGGAGCTGCTATTGGTTCTCAGCAATCTTCGAGGCTGCTCGCTGTTCAGCAGCTGCACTTCAATCAGTTCCCGCAGCAGTTTTAGCAGCAACTCCACATCCTTGGTGTTGATCGCATTGCCATACAGGCCCGTGGCAATTGTGTTGATAATTTGGCCAAGAGCACTAGCGGATAACAGGGACAGCCGGTCCGCAGTGGCCAGGGAAAGAGCCAGCAAATATGGTGTGTTGTACAGGTAATTAAACAAATCCTCATAGGCCAAGGCGTGCTGAAATATATTAAAAGTTAATTAAAGTTGATTTAGAATATGTTTGTTTGAACACTCACTTCATACGGCAGCAGCTGCTTGGCATCCACAAACTGGGCACTGTCGTAGGCACTTGCTCTTCTGCAGGATAGCAAAGGATCCTGATCCGTGCGAGCTAGCAGCATTTCGTTAAGGATCTGCCGCTGCTGGGCACAAACAAAGGCCAACTGTTGGGTAAGGAATAAAATATTCAATATAAGCAACTAATTAGCGAATAAATTATGAACTATTTACCTTGGTAATGGTCCCCGCATTCGTCTCCAAGGCCGAGGTCAGCTGGGCAAAGGTAGCCTGTTCCTGCTGTATGAAGAGCTGCTCCTGGCGTAGGGTGCGTGCAAGATCCATGATCTCCAGCAGATTACCAGCCGCTGGGGGCTCCATGGTGAAGCCGCTTAACCTGCCTGGCTGGAAATTTAAAACAGAAATAATTAGGTTATAAAATATATTGCATTTTTTAGTTTATATACATTTTTTAATAATTAACTAAGCAGAAATGGATGCACTGCATCTCAGACTAAGAGAGAGAGACAGAGAACGTTTGACGTGGAAGCCTTACATGCACATGCACGCAGATATGCATTTAACCAGCCCGCCTTCCTAGTTAGATATTGTCTTTCCAACGTTGCAAATATGTCTCTATATGTACATACATACTTTATAAGCACTAAACAATGGGGTGTTTTGTTTGTAATCTCGGTTTTAGTTTTCGGTTTTGCCTTGTTTTTGTTTTTTTTAGGCCTTGGTCAAGGGCAGACAATGCCCTACCACTAACTCATACAGGCATGCGCTATCTCTCTCTCTCTCTCTCTCTCTCTCTTTCACTCATGTTGTACTGCAACACATGGAGCCTCAATCAGGTGGCAGCCGAAAGAAAGAGAGACGGCAAGAGAGAGAGATGCCCCGCAATGAGACAGCAACAAATATTTGCGCCTCAATTAACGGCTGTTTGTATGCAGCTAAAGTGGGGGTCAGAATAATAGTACCCCTAATATTAAATTACATAGAAAACATATAAATAAATTAAAATTATTAAAAATATATATACATAATGAAATAAAATCCGGAGGTTGCAAACTATAATATTAATAAAATAATATACAAATTGTATTCAAATTTTAAGTAAGTAATAAAGTACTAATATATATTTTTATATAATAATAAAGTGGAGAGCCTAGATCCCATATTTAAAATATAAACATATTAATTGCACCTGTGCTATTTTTTAGGCCCTTGCTGTAGGGTTTAAGAAAAGTGACGGGGGAGCAACAGAGACATACATACATACATATGTATGTACAAATGTTCGCATATGAGCCATTGTATTTGCTTTCAATTTTTATCTTATCGATAAGTGTGTGAAAGTCTTAGGAGGTGTTTTTAGATAAACAATAGGCCATAACTCGGAATATGCAGTACTAAAATTTAAATTTACAACTGGGGGCTGACTGCCGTTCTATAAGTGTAATGAACGGGGGAAAAGCAAAAAGCTGCGGAATGTGCAGAAAACAAAACAAAACTGAGTTGTTGCGCTCATTAAACACATCCGAGACAGAGAGAGAGAGAGAGAGAGGGGGCGAAGATGTAGGAGAGGGGCTTAAATGGGGGGTGGACATTGCTCGTCTCGCTTGCTCTCATTTGATTTCCATACATATATATGTGTGTGCATTAATAGCTTGGGTTATTTGGTTATTTGCCGTGCCAAGCACTGAAAATAATACAGCAAATGAGTGGAGAATTGCACCAAACAAAAACAAAAACACAACAGCAAATAAATGAAAAGTAAACCCCAAAGCGTAGGTCCGTTATGTGGGCGATATTTGAACGTGTGTATGTTTGTGTGAGGGAGCTGGCAATAGGCGAAGGCCAAATAGAGCTTGTTGTTGTTATTATTACGAATGCTACTCCACATCTTCCACTTCTTCTTCTTCGTCGTCACCTGCCTCACACTTCACAAGCACTTCTTCATTCACCACCTTCCTCTTACTGTTTTCTTGTTGTTTTCTTATGAATGAAAGTCTCGCATTTCGTTTAATTTGCTGGCAGTGGCACCCGCAGCCACACACACACGTTTCACACACACACCTATAGCTAGACAGCAATGTTTTCAGGTTTCCAGTTTCATATAAGGAGTTATTTGTTCAACTTTTACTTACGGCAACAATAAAAAATACGCGTCTTTGTTTTTGTTACGGGAGAAGGGGAGGAGGAGGATAAAAAAGGAACAACAAATACGTGCTGGTCGCGAGTCGCGTACTTAATTAGTATATTTGTGCCGGCGTTGCCATATGTTCGGCACTCAAAATTACCGCATAATGCACTTTGGTACTAACATTTCTTTAGTATTTTAACCTCGGTATATTTTTGCGTTGCATGTTGGTCACGCTGTATGAATTGAATTGTTTTGAACTTCAATAAATTGAAAAATGGTTTAATTTCACGCATAAATTGGTCTTTGTTTAATGTTTTAGTCGATATAACATAGTAATTCAACACAGCATGACATAACATAGGGAGTACCCTTGATACGTTTTTTTTTTTTAAAATATTCAGTGTTGTTGATGCTGGTATTTTTTTTTGTGTCTCCAGCCATGGCCACACTGACTTCGAGCTGATCAACAATTGGTTTAATCATTTTTTTAACCCGGCCCGCAAAACAACAATTCTCTCTCTCCAAACGATCAAGTTTTTTTTTTATTCAGCGCGAAGAATAAGAGCAACAATAACTAATTGGAATTGAACGCATCAGTGCATCAGTGGCCTTTTGTTGTTGCTGCAGAGTACAGCAAGTCTCAAGTTCTTGTTTTTGATTTAACTGCGTGCGTAGAATTTGTGAAAAGAGAAAGTTTTCCACCCGCCATCTCTCCACACCTTTTGGACACCTCTCTTTCACTCGTGCGTCTCGTGGACGGAGCGCTTTACGGTCGTGGCCCAAAAACTGCGCCTGCGCAGCGACAATTTCACAACCAATTGAGGTCGGATCAGCTTGCAAGTGAGTATCACCTGTTGAAGTGAATAAAATAAATAAATAAATAAATACAGGATTAATTAATATAGTGTATAAAATATGTTGAAAATATTCTGTTGAAGATTTATTTAGAAATTGGAGTATAAAACGAACTTCTACTTAATATAAACCAATAAGAATGGTCAGATGATCGAGAAATACATATTATATTATACTTAAAATGATATATTGAATTAAATTGATTTTAATTATATACATATTTATTATATATTGGATTAAATATTATATATTTAATTAAATTGGGTTCAATTATATAGAACACAGACATTATACCAGGAGATAATATTAATAAACCCTGAATTGATATTATATTTACAAAAACAACTGGTAAATTATCAAGAAATACGTACTATATTACTTTAATAATTTATTTTAGTACCTTCCTTGGAATCCAACCAAATATGGGCACCAAGCAGACAGTGTCCCCCGTGGCCACCAAAAACTCTACGCATGGATCACCTTCCAAGCTAAAAGCTAGCTCCACTTCATCATCATCATCATCCGCAATGGGGAATGGCAAGCACAGGGAGACGAAAACAAAGACGACGGAAGCGAATGCCCTACCGCCACAGAAATCGGTGGTGGTGGCCTATATATGCTGGCTATTTGGTGGTATCTTTGGACTGCATCATTTGTACCTGCATCGGGATCGCCATGCCTTCATCTGGTGGTGTACTCTAGGAGGCTACATGGGCATCGGCTGGATGGGTGAGCTGTTCCTAATCCCCGAATACGTGAGGGATGCCAATGAGGATCCACAGTTTGTGAAGCAGTTCGTTGCCAAGCTGCAAGCATATCCAAAACCACCATATTCCTCGAAGAGATTCGTGGGCCAGGTGATGATCGGTCATCTGTTTGGACAAGTGTGCTCCATGGCCATACCAGAGACTCTGATTGGTGGCTGGGACCTGAGCATCTTGCACTGGGCGATACCCATCTTTGTGTCCCTGGGCGTCTGGCTGGTGGGCAACATTGGACGGGAGCAGGGTGTCTGGTGGCACTGCCTCCTGGCTGCTTTTCTAGCCTATCCGGCCAGGTATCTGATATACGATGAGACCTACTCCCTGCTACTTACTGGTCTGATTTCGGCCCTGACCTTTGATGGCATCTCCAAGCAGTGGCGACGCACTCCACCCAGGCGCGGCAGTCCCGGCGAGCGAACCTTTAAGCTAACCACCGCTGTTATCATCTATTGTGCCTTCTGGGGCAGCTTTTTGTACTTCAATGGCACCATTTCGGATGAGGATGGCGGCGAGGTGCCCATCCACGAGGCTCTGCACAACTTCTTGGCCTCGGCCTGGTGGACGGATCTGAAGCAAGCCCTGCAGGATACCTACAATTATGCCCAGCATCATGGTTGGTATGAGACTTGGAAGGAGGTGTTTGAAAGCATGGACGTGGATGGCGAACGGAATTCGTATAAGGTGCTGGGTGTTAGTGCCACTGCCTCCCAGGCGGAGATCACCGCTGCCTATAGGAAGCTCTCCAAGGAGTATCATCCAGATAAGGTTAAGGATGAGGCCTTGAGAGCCCAGGCACACCAGCGTTTCATTGAGATCCAGCAGGCTTACAGTGTGCTTAGCAAAATTAAGTCGAATCGCAGACGCAAGAATAAGCAGTATCAACAGGAGGAAGAGGCAATTGTCCTTTGAGAAGGAAGAAGGAAAGGGAATACACTTCCTTTTAGGATGTAATTAAAATATTAGTTGCATTGTGACCCAGTTGAGAGGGAGGAAAACTTCTCTAAACTGATTTGTAATGCTTAATTAAAAAACACACTGAATCTAGTTAATGTACTAAAAAAATAAGAAAAGAAAGGATATCTTCAAGTCTCTTAAATAGAAACTCTATCTACACAAATCTCTAATTATTTTTTATAAAAAACCCATAGTTAATTGAAAAACGAAACCCCTTTTACAGGGTATCCCTTAGTGCCTTAAAAATCAACCCTGTCTACAAAAAACTCTAAATTGTTGTTCTAAAAACCACACCGACTTTTATAAATTTACTTAAAGTTCCAAAGTCGCTTAAATATCAATTCTATTTAAAAAATTCTCGAAATTTTTATTAAAAACCACACACCGACTGTATTTAATTTACTAAAAGAGAAAAAACTGTTTTAAAAAGTATCTACAAGAATCTCTTAAATGTTATACATCCCACTCCACCTCTAGTTAATTAACTAAATAAGTAAACCCTTTTACAGGGTATCTCTTATTCGCTTAAATATCCATTTCACTTACACCTTTTCCCTTCGTTTTTTTGCTCAAGAAAATAATTGCATATTGGCTACGCTTACGTGTTGCCTTTAAATAATTCGAAAATTGAAATAATTGATGCGTGACAGACAGCATTTCCATTTTATATTTATATTCATTTATTTATTTTATTTTATATATTTATTTTACATAATATAATGAACTACTTAACAGACTAAGCTTAAAAAAAAAGTGTTTTTTTCCTTTTCTTCTCACAAATAATATTGTTTGCGTGTGTGATTGTGTGTGTTTTTTTCACTAAAATTTAAGTAAAACGTTTAAATAAAAAACAAAATGTATTTATAAGTATATCATTTGTTTTGCTTTTTATGGTTTCTTATTAAGTTTGTCTCATTTTTTTGTTTTCTTTTTTAATCTTAATTGCCATCGTAGGGGAGAGTTTGTTTGAAGAAGAACAACAACAAATCGAAACTCGAAATAAATCGTAACAATATGCATATATAGGGTTTACGGGGAGGAAAAAAAAGAAAAAAATATATAAACAGGAAACAATAACTCGCTTAAATGTAGTTTAAAACATAATACTGAGCAAAAAATGTGTGTATATAACATTTTGCCTACTAGATTTTTTGCTTTCTCTTCTTTCTTTTCTTTTCTTTTCTATTTTTTTTGTTAGTTTTGTTTTTTATTCTTTCTCTTGAAATATTTATGTAATATTAAGTAATTGCTTTTCTTTTTTGCACTGCTTCTTCGATATATACACATATATATTTTAAATACATATATATATATATATATATATATTATTAAGGCCAGTATGGTGTATTTTTTTTTTAAACTTTACAAATTTGACTATTTCCATAAGTTTTCTTATTATTTTTTTGTGACTGTGTTTCGTGTCTGTGTTTTGTGTGTGTGTTTCTTGGTTTATCACGCTTTCTTTTTCCTTTTTTTCTATTTGTTGAGAAACAAAAAAATTGTACAAAAAACGGAAGTGTATTACAATTTTCGTTTAGTGTATATTACTACAGTTTAAAGTACGTTTTAAAATAAAATAACAATTTATTAGGCATCGTGGGCACGCACACTGCTACAGTGTGTGTGTCTCGCTTGTGTGTGTGTGTGCTCGTGTAGGTGTGGCTTTTGTATGGTTGTGTGAGTGTCCTTACACCTAGACTAACACACAATAGGTTTTTGCTTTTGCATTTCTTCCCGTTATATCTTCACTTTGTTTTTTGTTTTTGTTGTTGTGTTTTGTTTTTTTCGATCTCTTTCTCTGTATGTACAAACTAAAGTTAAGCCAAACTCGCTGGTTCTTCCGGGTGTGGTGGGGGGCGAGGGAGTGAAGAGGGGAAGGATTTACAAATGTTCTATTACAAAACTACAACCACAAAAGTATGCTTTCTTTTCTTGCAATCAGCGCCATATTTGATTAATGCTTTTCTTTTTGCTTGTCCAGGCGTCTCTCTCTTTTCCTACTCTCTTTTGTTTTTGGCTCCTTCTTCGAGCTTTCTCTTAAGCCAGAGCTGTTCCAGTTGCTCTTATTATTCTGGCATTGCTCTCTCTCTCTCTTTCTTTCTCTCTCTCTCTCTCGATAACTTGATGGAATGTAGGAGTGTGTGTGTGGGGAGTAGTTTGTGCGTGGCTTGTGCGTTTAGGAAATAAAACATTTACAGGCGCGTAACCACAATGTCTTCCTCGAGATCGTCCAGCTCGTCATCGGTCTCCTCAACGCCATCGGGCCCAGATTCGGCGGCGGCCAGAGCTGCAGCAGCTGCCGCAGCAGCAGCGGCCTCCTTCTCTTTCTCGGCAGCCTCGATCTTCTCCTGCTTCTTCACCTTGCGTTGCTGGAAAGGGAACAAAAGAGATTTACAGTTAGTTGAAAGAAACTCAATACTCCTTTGAAAGTGTGCCGGTAAGTATGCAATATATTGGGGACTTCCGGCAAGATGCCGGATGCCATTTGTAATTTAAGTAAACTATAGCATACTTTCGGACACCTTTCCTATGGAATTTATTATTTAATTTAATTGCATTACTAATTCAACTCACCTTCTTCCTGTACAGGATCTCCACAATCACATAACCAATGCAACCCAGCGTCAGCACCGCCAACAGAATATACAACTTCATTTGCGTGCAAAGCGTGGTGGCATAAGCATATGCAATCACAAATCCTGCAGACTCCCACAGGCGATAATTGGAGAAGGCAGCCTCCTTGTTGCGCCGGAAGAGCAGACCGTATAAACCGTTAATCTGCGTCTGCCACACAGCATCACCAACACCCCACAGACCGGACATGGCATAGAAAATGATGGGATTATCGGGATTTGGACGCCAGAACAGCTCCACAGTGATCAAAGTGAAGTGAACAACTGCTCCAAGCACAATAATCGGTGTGCGTCCAATGTACTTCATCACGGAACCAAACAAAATCGAACAAAGGGCATTGACCACACCAAAGCAGATCATCACAAAGCCAATCTTGTTCACACCCAAGGCACAGGCCACATAAGCCTGGGTAAAATCAGCACCAATAAAGGCCTGCTCCATGCCAATGAACACGGTAATGGGGATAAGGAGCTGCAGATTCGGTTTCTTCATCTGACGGAATGTGGCCGACAGGAGTTGCAGTCCCGATAGTTCAGCCGCCGAATTGGAACCCTTACGCTTCTCACCGTACCGCTTCAGGGGATCCAGGAAGAAGGCAATAATGCATACAGCGGCCACAATGCAGGACAGATAAATCATGGAAATCTCAAAGATCTCATCCTCTGGTGGACGCTCCAGATTGCCATGACCCCCGCTGCCGGTGGTGCAGAAATTGGCACCACAGAATTGCAAATCCTCCTCACTGATCGTTGAGTTCGAGCTGCTGCTGCCACCGCCATGGGCGCCGCTGGACAGAACTAAAGGGGGGAGAGAGAGGAAAATATTTAATCAAGATTAGCAAAAATCGGAAATCATAGTTAAATTATAAATTTTCCATCGAAAGTGGAAGATTCCGTCTGGCTAACGTTTAAGGTGGCCATAAAAATTCATACCCAAAAAAATTTCTGTTTAGTTCATTTTATGATTTTCAGTAGCTAATAATCACTAAATGTTTTATGGTTTTTGATAGCTGGGGGGAGCAGAAAAAATGAAATCAAACGCTAATACTTTATTAATTTAAGGGTCTTGACAATCTTTGCAATCTTTCATTATGACCTGATAAGATTGTCTAGCAACGGAAACATGACTATCACTAATTTAAGTGAGAAAGTCTCTTGGGGATAATGAACTTTTAAAAGTTAGGAACTATAAAAAATATATATAAAATACAAAATATATAAAAACGAAATTGTAAATTAACAAAAGGAATTGTTTTACATAAAATTCAATAGTAATTCAATTTAGAAAAACTTCAAAATTTAGAGCATTAAGTAGAAAAAATCGTTTGATTAAATTTAAAAGTTTTAGAGATATATTTGTACGAAATATAATTATTGCAATTTCTTGCCTTTTAAATCCCCTAAAAAACGGTTAAAAAGTATGCAACAGTTTATGTTTAAGCTGCTTCCAAAGCCAAAATAGTATCATAGCTTACTTTTGGACGCATTTTTAAAAGAACATTTTCATAACAAAACTTTTAAATATATTTTTAATTGATTTTCAAATATAAAAAGATTTCTAAATCGATGTTAAGCCAAGAAAACCCTTTTCCAACATTAAAAAAATCCTAAAAAACTAAAAAAATAAACACAAATAAAAACTCACCCAAGCTGGAGATGAGATTGCCCCAGAGCTCAGCGGATTGCCAGGCCAGGAAGAAGAAGCCAAAGAATCGCACAATAATGGCATCCACTGCCTGTTCAGTTATCTTCGCATACACCTGTCCCACCTGTGTCAAATATGTGGCCTTGGACGCCCACATGGGGGCGGCACCCATACCGACCAGTATGCCAGCTGGGACCAAAGTGTAAAAGCGGGGGAAGAGCTGGAAGGCGATGTAGGGAGCATAGCAGAGCATACTGCAGACGAGGGTCCATTTAACGGTCAACTTCCGGATAATCAATGTGGGCAGGAAGATGCAGGACACCACCAGGGCGGCATAGATGGCACTCAGTGAGACCGTGCCCAGGCCATCCTTGGAGTTGATCGAGGATTGCAGGTTAGCCGTGCCCTAATTTATATATAAAAAATTAATTAGTACATAATTCTTTCTTATTCTTAATAAAGGAGAAAAAAAATATCGATGTTTAGCGATAAAAAATCGATTATTTTAGGCAAAAATATCGAAAATGTATATTATTTTAGAGTATTATTACTTGTATAGGATTTACTTTTTGGTTTTAATTGAAGTATTTAATGAACTACAATTAGTTCTTTGAAAAATATATATTTAAATTCAATTAGCATATAAAAACTACAAATTTAATAATAAATTCTGATAAAATATTAATCTTTAATAAAATTGGTATTTTAATAATAATTTGTAGTTGTCTAACATTTATAAAATTCCTTTATAGTATTTACTTGTTGGATTTATGTTAATATGGACAGAATTAATATATTTACAAATCTAACAATTACAGCTTATAAAGTCTTAATTTAAAGTCGATTCTTCTAGACAAAATTATCGATATATTATATATTTAATATAACTTTAGTAACATATTATGTATTATTATGGTGACCCAAATATTTAAAGTTCATTGGTGATTAAAAAAAAATCAATTTAAATTGAATATATAATTTAAATTAATTTTATGTCATTTTATATAGTTAATGTGATAAGAATCGCTGTGATGATGGACACCAAGCAGGTAAACACTCACCTGAAACGCTGTAAATTGCACCATAAAGGCTACTGAGATGATCGAGATATTCTTTAAGATGCGCCATTTCTCGGCCGGATTCAGCACAACTTTCTCTCGCAGCGAGGCGGTGTCGGGCTCGAAACCAGCTTTTGGCTAAAAATAAAAGCGTACAAAAAAAATAAGGCAAAAGAAAAAGACGTAAGTCGTAAGCAAAGTGGTAAAGATCACCAAGCATTCGGATGATCGTTGGTTTCTTATTTTTATTTTATTTTTGTTATTCGAGAGACACCGAGAAGTGCATCCTACTTTCTTTCTTATCTCCTCATTTTTCGAACAAGCTTAAACTTTCTTATTATACGATTAGATATTAAACAAGTTTAAATATATAAAATACTTAACGGTTTTATACGCTATTAAAATGGGCTACAAATAATCTATTTGATATATATATTAATTTCCTTTATATCTGTTTATTTGTTTTGAGTTTCCCACTTTAAGCTATTGTTTAAACCTTGATCAGCTTTCCTTAATTAATTATTTATGTGTTACGCATTTAGTTTCTGACAAAAAAACCAAAACCAAATTATTTGGACTGATTCAAAAATCCAAAAAAATCAATTTACAAAGCCCGCACGCGTTTTGCTCGCGTTGCGCATGCGTGGCGCGGCGTAAAGTTTGTTTTTTTTGTTTTTTATTTTATTTTATTTTATTTTTTCGATCGTTTTAATGGCCATCAAAATGCCCGAGGCGAATTCCACACACAGGAGAGTCCCCGGGGGAAAAAAAGGCCGCCGAAAGTAAACCCAGGGCGAGAACTGAACCTCAAAGCCCGAAAAAAATGGCGATTTCGCATGCATCGCACACAGAGAGAGGTGGCCAAGAAGGTTACATTGCGGGGGAGGGGTTTAAGCCACACACACGCTTCGTTATGCAAGTCCACACCAATCGATGTGTGATCACAGGCCGACTTTATATATATAAATTTCGTATACATATATTTACAAACTTAATTACAGCACATAATAATGCGTTTTGCTGTTTTCACACGAATTTAGTTTGTTAAGGAAATCGTTCCAGATACTATATGCATATATATATATCTTTGTGAAGCTGTAGAAAACCCCGTTTTGTTTGTATGCAAATTGCAGACGGATTTCAGATTCCAAGCAAAATATACAAAAAAATCCCCTTGCTTTTATCAGCATAATAAAATTGCATTTAAATGTGTTATAAAACAAAACAAAAAAACATTAAAAGCAATAACTTTAAAAAGGAATAATGCCTGAAATACTTAAATTTTTGTTGTGGCATTTATTTGGCTGCTAAAAAAGTGTTTTAGATAATAAAAAAAGGAAAACAGTTAATGTGGCCAACATACAGGCCAAAAAAATAGGTCAATATGAAAAAGCAAAACTAATAGAGAAAGGAAACTAAGTTTGGGAAGCCGAAGTTTATATACTCTCGCCGTTTGCAATTGAATTAAAGGATTGAATTGGAAATCAGTCACTATTCTTAATTATACGCATTCTTTAAATCAATATTTATAGATATTTTTAAAGGCAAATTTTACGACATATCAAAGTTTCAAAAACTCATAACTAAGCCAAAAATGCCTTAATTTTAAGTCGGAAAGCTTTCCAATGTTAGTTTTTATTAGGTTAATAAATCTGCATAATTAATTTAACATTTTAAAAAAGTTAAAATTTTTATAAAAATTTTTACAATTTTAACGATGTAACCCCTTGTAAAATTTTGAAAAAATTGGTCAACATTTTTTTCTTTCGAAGATGGCTAGATCGATTCGGATTTTCATGCTGATCAAGAATATATATGATTTATAGGGTCGGAAATGATTTCTTTACAAGTTAGAAGCTAAAAACCATTGAAAAGCAAGAAATTATAAATATTACTCATACGCCGGGTGTACAGAAAAATTTGAAGGAAAATTAAGCTTGAATATTGGAATGAACTTTAAGGGTTTATCTAGAAGATATATATTTTCTTTTACTATTTTATTTACTTCTTTTTATGTCTATATAAATTTAAGTTAAGTAATTATAACAAAATATGTTTAAATACTTTTAGAAATTAAACATTGAAAAACAAGACTTTAAGGGTGAACTTAGAGTACAAAATTTGAAATGGTTTTGAATAAAATAAGGCAATATATATTTATTTAAATTCCAAATAAATAAAATAATATATAATATAATATAGAAAAATATATACTTTATTATTTAATATATTATTTATTATATGACTACATTATATATATAAATATAGTTATGTTTCTTCCCAACAATTTAAGGGATTTATTTTTTTTAAGCCCACAAAATCTAGGCTATATTTGCCTGCAAAAGTTAAGAAAAAAAAATGATGACATGACACACAAAAAAAAAAAACAAAACTGGAAAACCTCAGAGTCTCTCTTGTATTTTTTCTTGCAGCTTATTTATTTTCTTTACTTTTTTTGTATTTTTTTGTCTGTTTGTTTGTTTGTTGTGCTTGCATGTGCTTTTCTCACTAAACAGCTGATGGCTGCAAGTGCCTCACTGAGCTGATATTTATTTATTCCCCCTCACCAATCCCCCCTTCTCTCTTTTTTTCGTATAGTTTTTCTTGGCAAGCGGAGCTTTAAGACAAGTGCGCGTAATAATAATAATGACAGTGCACACGGGGGGAGGGGGGGAGAGGGGGCATAATGATATGCGAGAGTGTTGGCAGCGCAGCAGCAGAAGCAGCGACGGGTCTCCTCTAGGTGAGACAAACAAAAACCGACGCAAACCAGTTAAAAGCGGCCAGGTGAGCAAACTGTCTCTTCGAGTGTGGCCGCAGGTGTGTGTGGATATTGTCTTATATTTATTTATTTCTTTTATTTCAAAGTGTTTGTGCAGTTGCACCTAGGGAAAATATGTTAAATAAAATAATAATAGTAATAATAATAATAATAATAATTAGAATTTAGAAAAAAATATTAAACCAAGTTAAAACAATTTAAAGTAATATTTTTTACTCGTTATTCTTTAACTTTTAAATTTATTACTTTACATTTTAGCAAAGAAAAAATATTTATTCATTGAAATAATTAAAAAATACTTTTATTAATTATTAAATATATTTTCACTTCAAAAACTTATATTTCAAGTATTTAAGCTTCCTTCTTTACCTATTTTTTCCCCTGTGTAAGTCGCTTACTTCTGGCAACATGTTGCCAGCGACCTACTGCCTGCAGCCTCTATAAGTGTTTCTGTGTGTGTGTGTGTATGCCCACGCGGCAACATGTTGCGCACGCGCTGTGTGCTGCACGAGATTTGCGTTTTATTTTTAAACGCGGCACGTTTCGTGTTTGCTTTGGTGGTTTTTACATACAGCAGCGGGCAGTAAACTAGAGACAGCATTTCTTAATAGGAAATTAATGAGGAAATAATAATTTTACTATATACCAATTTTTCCAATTAAATAATAAAATAGAAAAGAGGATGTTAATTATACTAGAGGCAATAAAAAATAATTGAGAAGCCTAAGAGAAAAGGGCAATATTAAAAGCATTTGTGTAAATAAGAAATTAAATTAAATTAAAAAAGTTTCTATATATAAAAGAACATTTTGTTTTTGTTATTTTTTGTTTTAACTACAAAAAAACTAAAACAGGGCAAAATAAATAGTAAAAAAAGTTGTATTAAACAAAATAAATAGCTAACCTTATTAAGCCACAAATTTATAATGTGACCTTATTAAGCCGCAAAATTATAATGTGACCTTAAGAAACGTAAAAAATAAAATCTAATCCTACTGCTCTCTTAAAAAAAATTCTCTCCTTTTTATATTTTCATAGAAATTATATTTTTTTTCAACTTAATTTCTTTTTGAAGCCACCTCTGCTGTCTTTGGTGTTTGCTGGACATTCTCAGGTTTCTTTTATTTAATTTTTTGTTTTATTTTTTCATTATTTTTCCTTTTGGGCTGCTGTGGTTCTGGGTTGAGGAAAACAAGTTTGGTTTCGATGTCTTTCAAGAACCGAACCGATTACAGGGCGCGGTCACTCCTTTTATTTCTTTCATGAAGGGGGGAGTGTGGGGGTTGGGTATTGTAAATTGGCAATATTTTATTATGAAACCTTGTCGGTGCTTTAATTGTGCAATATCTTTTCTTGTAGTTTTTTTTTGTTGTATTATTTGTTGTGTATTTATTTTTTGTTCAGTTTCGTGTTAGTTAGCGGCGTTCGTTCGCCTCGGTGTTACCTTATTTATTGCCAAATTCATTGGCCATCATCACCTGGCTAGGTAGAGCTAGCTTTCTGGCCGGCTCTCTGGTCAAGTTTGTGGCTAAGACATATCCATAAATATATATTTGTGTGTGTGGAGAGGGAGCCAAACGCTTTCTGCTGTCACATTTCTTTTTCTCTTAAATTTTGTTGTTTTGTTTTTGAAGTTTCTGCCTTTCCGCTTCTGCGTGTGGGCTGTTTTTTTTTTTTTTTTGGGTTTTGAATTTCTGCAGGTGAAATTTATTTTTCGCCTCATTAAAAGGCCAAGGAGTGGCTTTACCAAAATGCTAATGATCATCGCTGCCACATTTTTTTTTTGCTGTTCGATATTGGTTTGATTATTTCTTTTTTGATTTTTGGTTATTGTAGTTTTTTTTTTTTTGGTTTATTGGACACTTCCTCCACAACTGGGCCATCATAAAAGCTGTGACGCGTGTCATTATAAAACATGATTTCTTTGGCCGAAGGCAAACAAGGTTAAGGTGCTCTCCCAGACACCCCAAGATAAGTGTAATCCGGCCTATAAGCCATATATGTATACATATATTTGTTAGCCATATCTATTGTCCATGCTTGAATGAATGGAAAACAAATATAAACACAGCCAAGGCAGCAGTCGCATTTTGACAATTTCGATGGTTCTTTCCTATAAGTTCTAAGCCAATCTATGGGAAATAATAAAGCTATTTTAATGGAAATTGGCTTCCAATATTATAGAGAGTCTTTAAGCTCACGGAAATTGAATATTTAATTCATTTACATTTACCTATAAAAGTTCTTGAATCTAAGCAGAGAATTATTTTGCCAAAGAAATACTACAATTTCAGTCAAAAGCATAAAACTCAGTGAAGGAATCCTTTCCGACCCCATAAATCATATATATTCTTGATCAGCATCAACAGCTGAATCGATCTAGCCATCTCCAGCAGAAAAAAAAATTTTGAACATTTTTCATAATTTTCTAAGGGGTTACATCGTTAAAATTGTCAAAAAAAAATTGAAAAAAATTTAAATTCTTTTAAATGTTAAATTCAGTATGCAGATTTATTAACCTAATAGAAACTAATGTAGGACAGCTTTCCGAATTAAATTTAATTAATTTTTGGCTTAGTTATGAGTTTTTAAAGCTATAATATATAGATAAATAACCATTCAAAGAATGCAAATATTTTAAGCTTACTTTTGATTGATTTCCAATTCGATTCTATATTTTAATTGCCAGCTGCTTTAAGTAATAATAATTGTTACAATTATATATTAAATAAATATTTAATTGCAACTCTTAAGTCGATTTTATGGCAAATTTTCTGGCCTTATGGAAACCCCCAAATAAAAGTTCTTGCAAAACAACTACCAAAGAAGCTACCTAACCTTTTTTTAATTATGCAAACGCATAATATAATATAATATACATATATGTACATTTGAATAGTGACAATAACAAAACCCGGAATATAATGAGTCTCTTATTTGAATCTTTTCTTTTTTTGTTTTTCGTGATTTTCTCCTTCGACTGTGCCTTTGTTTACAGATGTTTTAATTATGCGTACATTGACGTGTCCGACACTTGTTCGAGTTAAATGAGAAGGAAAAAAACCAGGTAAAGCACTTACAAGCGCCCCCCCCTCCCCCATCCTGAACTACTTGGGCAATGATAAATATAAAGAAGTAAATAAATAAATAAATAAATAAAGTAAAATAACAAAAAAAAAACTCACCTTGACGGGCTCATCGTTTTCGAAACCGGCGTTCGTGAAACCAGTCATCTTGCTGGCTTTTTTTTGTATTGTGTTCTCCCGGGATTCCTCTCTCCCTCTCTCTTGGGCTTCTTTTTGGGCCTGGTTAATCAATTAACCCAAGGGAAAAAAAAGAGTTAACTGCAAAGAGAGGGAAAGAAATATAGCCATTAGTAAATACGTAACAGCCTGTGCGGTCTCGGCCATAACAATAATAATAGTAATAAAAGAATAATATAAATAATGCTAAAGATTTTTTCGTTTTCAAAATTGCCAGAGCCCCCAGGCCATAATTGTCGGAAATTTAATAGAACCGACTGTATACTATATAGATTTCTATATATATATATGTAGATGCAGGAACAATTGCGAAAATCTATTCTGAGATTCAGAAGCTTTGCCGGCAAAGTCTTTCCCCCATTCATCTACCTGAGCCCCATCATCATCATCATCATCATCATCTGTTCCCATAGGTTTGTTACCAATTTTGCCATTGTCTAATTGTTTATAATTGACATCATCCCACCCACCTCCCCCTGCTCCCACACACTCATACACATATAAATATTTATACACTGTCCAAGTTCATGTCCAATTAATTGCATATTAGGCGGCATATCCAACTATTATTCAGGCCCCTCAACTGAAGCGACAAAAAAGCAGACACACAATGAAATCTCTGCTTAAAAAATAATAGAAAACAAAAAACAGTAATGATAATAGAAAAACAACAACAAATTGGTTAAACTTTTTATGGCCAGACATTGGCATAGAAATTCTCAAAGGAAATAAACACAACGCAAATTAATGATAATAACAATGCTAAACTACAACATAAAAATTAACAAAAAAATGGAAAAAGAATAAAATTTATATGAGTTATAATCGTTTGTCTCGTTTGGGTTTCTTTTTTATAATCCTACCTAATTTTTTCTGTTGTTTATGCTAAACAAGCAAAAGCCATAAAAAACCAATACGTAAAAGTTAAGATGGACCACAAAAAAAAAGTATGGCTGGGATTTACCGTCACGTGCTGTTCACTGAATTGTCACTACATTAAATAGAATATACTCTATCTTTTTTGTGTAGAAACTAACATAGGTGAACTTATAGTATTTTATTTTATTTTCTGTTTGTTTCTAAAATATAAAATTCATTCATTTGTAATACTTATAAATAGAAAATAGGTAATACTTTAAGTAAAAACTTTTTCCATTGCTTGGTGACTAATTCTAAAGTGTGCAAAAACTGTGACTTATTTATTATTTAAGTGATTTAAGAAACTCTAACTATTCTTTAAGTGGGACTTTAATTAGGCTGTCAAATATATATATTTTTTTGGCTAACAGCTGCTGTCAAGGAGAGGGAAAAGCAAATGCAAGTGTTTTTAGCTTTCGCTTTACAGCACAATTCGTGACTTAGCAGCACTCTGTTACGGGTTATTCTTGGATTATGTTGGAAAAGGATATTTTTCTGAAATTTTCTTTTGATCAGTTACTTATCAGAAACTTAAGCTATATATTATATATACTAATAGTTTCTTTTCTTCACACCTCGTGACTTTTTTGCATGTGAGCATTACTGTTACGTCACTAAATGTTAATCTTGTGGCCTGAAATTTTAAGTAAAACAGTGCCTTGGTTAAATTTACAGCACATATATATATTTAAAAGAATTTTAATTTTAAATCTTGGAAAATTTCTTTTAATTCCAGTATTTCTACAAAGTATAAGTTACTAATGCTACTTTTTGATTATTGAGCCTCTTCCAAGTATCTGTTATGCCGACTATATGGTACTTGTATATTCGGTTTTGGCTCTCAAATTATTATCGCAGATAATACGATCGATTACGAAGCCGTCGCCATCGAACGAAAATCCAGAAACAAAGTCACAAAAAAAACCTGGTCATAATTAATATTAACTCATAAAGAACCTGCTACTGCCCGGACTGACGTCATAACAACAAAACTCGGCGCCGTCTAATGCTAATTATCCTCTAAAAAACAAGAAAAAAGAAACCCAAACAGCTGGGACCCCGATTGATACCAGATAGAAATACTATATAGAGATATAGTACACTAAAAGTTGAGCACGTGTTTGCTTTTCGCTTTTCAATTAACCAATTTCTATATTTTTGTTTTGCACTAGAATGAAACCGAAACCAGCAATTATATAAACAAGAATATATATTCTGTATTGTATTGTATCATTTATATCTATTATATAGAGGTACTGTCTACGATATCATGTTTTGAAAATGGAAGTCAAACCCCAACTTGGTGTCTGTCGGCAATTGACAATTTTCAAGCCAAAGATTTTTTTTATGGCCAATGCGTGTGAGTTTAATTTTATATATCAGTCTTTATAGATTTTTTTATATAGATAGAGTGACACGCGCCAAACGTCATTAAAGATGAAAATAAAGAAGGCTTTCAATTTCAATTTCAATTTCAATTTCAATTATTATTCTAGCGAAATAACGCACTCATCAAAGTCGGAGAGGGTCTATAACACACGCTTTATTTCGCTTTATTTCGCTTTATATCGCTTTATTTCTCTTTATTTCAGTTTATTTCGTTTTATTTTTGTTTATTTCGCTTTATTTCAGTTTATTTCGCTTTATTTTGCTATCCAAATTGTTTTGAAATCGGCTGTAGACAATCTGCATTATCTTTCGGGACTTAAGTGGCCTACAAATTGGCCGCTGGTTTCAGCCCCCTTTTAACCCAACTCTCCTCTCTATTATGTATTATTTATTATTGTATTTTCATTTTTTTGTATTTTATTTTTATTTTGCAGGGCCCTTCACTTAAGCTTGCCTCTTTGGGGGTTTTATACAGTTTTGGATTTTTTATAATCGAACTTGATTAAACTTTTAAATACTCTTTGATATTTTTGGGGCTTAAGAAGAATTTTTAAATATTTTTTCAGGGGTTTAGGAATTTAATTAATTAGAAAAGTATAAAGTAGAAACACCCTTTAAAAAGTTAGTTAGTAGACTTGGTGATTTTTTATAAATTCTGAAGATTTTAAAGGAAATTAATTAAGAGGGTTATTATAAGCTAGAAACATTCTTTTTAGATCATTGATTGACAGGTTTTTTATACATTTTCAATTTCTTGAGGAATTTTATTAATGTGAAATTTATAAACTATATATTTTTTAATGCTAAACTGGCTGGCTTTCTATAATTTTCTGAGTTTTTAAAATAAATTGATTAATAAGAGAATTATAAACTAGAAACACTTTTGAAAAAAGATAATTAACTGTCTTGCTGACTTTTTATAAATTTGGTATATTTAAATATATAGTTTAAGGAACTTCTAATATATATTTTATATATCCTTATGTTTTCTAGAACTTCAAAAATATTTAAGTTATTAAAATTAATATATTTTAAAGGCACTGTAAAAGAAAAACTAAAACTTCTTGCTTTAATTTTATTGCACTTTAGTGATTTTATAGGGTATAACCAAGTCTTTTTATTTTTTATAACTACCTATAACTATTACTAAAATTTTGTTTTAAATGTTTCATAGCTTTTTGTGTTATAATTACTCTTTTTGGATTTTTTTATACATTTTTTTTAAATATTTTTTTTGTTAAACACTTTTTTCACTGTTGTCTTTTTTATGTACTTCTTTTTTTATTATGAACTTTTCAAAGGATCTGCAAGAATTACACTCTGTGGCTACACTCACAAAAAATACAGGTCCGGCGGGCCCAGCTTTTGCCGTAATATCCTTTAACCTGAACTCGGAATCGAACTCGAAACTCGAAATTCGAAACTCGAAACTCGGAAACTCGAACGAACTGGCCAAGTGGCTGTCTCAGTGCCTCGCAGTACAATGCCAAGAAACTGCGACAACGTGCGAATTTAAAACGAAAAGCACTTTCTAGCTAATTGGAGTGATTAGTGGCAGGCGTCGCAGTCGCAGTCGCAGTCGCTGCCGGGCGTTTGGGCCCAAGATATATTGTGGGCAAGGTTATCGCCTGGACGGAGCTAACTGTAAATAATCGGAAAGAGATAGAGCTAAGAGAGCCAGAGACAGAGCCACAGTCTATTTTTTTATATTCCTTTTTTTTCACGGTTTTTTCGCATTTATTTATATTTATTTGTACGTGTGTGTGCTTTTTTCTTCTTTATTATTTTTGTTTTTGTTAAGTCATTTTGGCCAGATTTGATTTGCGTTCGCCAATTCGAAGATAACCGAGGAGGAGCGGCAACGGCAGCTGTACGAGGCGCGCTTTTCAAATCTTCAGCTGACAGCTGACAATAGGGGCGTGTGGCAGGATACAGGAGCGGTTCAGACTAAGTCCTGTCATCTCAATTTAATAATTTTCGTATATATTAAATGATTTGAATTAAGTATATGAATGCTGTTATCCCAGATAAATGCATTTTGATCTAATTTGTGGTAACAAAAAACCACAGAAGAAAAGCTCCTTTTTGATGATAGGCGCGTGTAGCAGGATATATAAGCTGTTTAGGCTGATTTTGTAATTGTAATTTAATATTTTAAACATTTTTTATTAATTTAAAAATAGAAAAGTCGAAATAGTTTACTATTTAGGGGTTTATTTTCCAAAATAAATGCTGTAATGACTAAGAAATGCCTTCTGATTTGATTTTTGTCAACAAAAACCCCTGGCCAACCATTTCTTTTCACTAATAGGGGTTTGTGGTAGGATTTAGACTGATCCTTGCAACACAAATTATTAATTTGTTTATTTATTCATTACTAAATTTTTTTTTTATTTTTTAATTATTTTAATTATTTATTAGATATTTTATTAAGCAAAATTAAAGCTATTACACAATTCCTGCCCGTTTTTTTTATCAAAAAAAATCTTTCTTCAATAATATAGGTGTCAGGATACAGAAGCGATTGAGGTTAAATCCTTTTCACACAAATTATTAATTATACCTATTTATAAATTACCTAATAATACACCATATTATTTAAATAATTTACTTCAGAATTTAAATAAAAGCTATTACACACCTTCTGCCCTTTTTTTTTATCAAAGAAAACCCTTTGTTCAATAATATAGGTTTCAGGATACAGGACCGATTCAGGTTAAATCCTTTTCACACAAGTTATTAATTATACCTATTTATAAATTACCTAATAGTAC